TACTTCTGCATATTTTCCGACTTTGTTATCTATGAGAGAGAGTTCAACATAGTCAGTTCGCCAAATCTAAATTTGTAGTGCTGCAATTCTGGGGTGTAGTCATTGCATCTTAGGAGGTCGGCGTCATATGTTCTCGAGCACTATAGTGAGGACATAATGATCTTAAGGAAAGTGTGTCTAACACACGTCTCGTCTTTTTTATTTCTACATTTGATCTACATTCTGTGAGTTCCTTTATTTTATTTTATTTAATTTACAATTTGTGATCTTGTTCTTGTTTTATACCTGAAGAAGAATTTCTTTGTTGCTTGTGTTTTTTTGAAAATTATTTTTAGACTTTTACTTTTATTTTAGTCGTTATTTTATTATTTCAAGTACACACAGTTCACTAGTTTAATAAATAGTTTCCAACAAAAGCCTCATAAATGATATGGGTTTTAGCAGTTTCTCTAAATTTAGTGTCATCACCTTTCGTTGTCATTGTATTTGTGCTCTAATAGTTATCTCTCACTCTTTGATATGTCTCTATAGTCTTTGTTTCTTGCTAACTTTTTGTTCTCTCACTCACTCTCTTTTGTCCATCGTCGCCCTCACTATAGCCATTGTGAAAATTCGTCACCACCAACTGCTTCAAACACTCCGGTAATATGGTTGGGAGAAAAGTTTACTTTGAGCCAACCCTAATAATTCTTTTGCAAAAAAAATATATATATAAATAAATCTACCATCCTCGTCTTTTTCTCATTAAAATGGTTATAAGGGCAAAAAAAATGTAGAAAAGACCCAAAAAGCCCATACTACAGATCAGATGTTCTAAATTAAACATAACCAAAATGGGTCAAAAGGGGGAGTATTTTTGAAATGTGAGGATGACAAAATAATCAAAATAGTAGGGCACATCTCCTAATCTGCATGCATGATGGAACCAAAAATAGAAGGCTCAAGAATGACTACATAAGTTGAGCCTCATTAGTATATTACGAACATAGAAATTGATTCCAAAAACAGATATGAAATATATATGAATGAATAAGTTTTTTTTATAAAATTTATTGATGAGATTAGTATCTAAAAAATTAACCCATCTATATATATTAGAAGTTCGATTATGTGATCTATTTCTGCATTCAAACATATTATGAACCTAATTATAGTAAGCTTTCCTTATAATTATGCAATGACTAGTCTATCATGTGCATCTTGCTAAGCTAACATATTTGAAAACTTTCTTTCGGTCAAATTAGATGGATTAAGCTCAAAATAGATAAATAAAAGTTAACATGACTCCGACTTGCTTTGATTTTTATGTGATACATTTTTTAATTTTGATTGATTTATGTGAATGTATCATATTTATATTGATATTTTAACTGACAATATATAAATATGATACTTGATGATTAATTTGCCATATCACATGACAATGCGATGTGATGTTAATCTTTTTATTCTTAATTTTGTTTTGATATAACATAATAATTTAATAATACAAGCATGAGGAATTTCATTCATATTTTTAGAAACTTGAGCCTTTTGATGTTAATCTTTGTATTCTTAGCACTGTTCATCTGAGGGGACTCCAAGGATGTAGTGAGGGGTCCATGATCCCATCAACTTTTCAAAATCTATTAAAAATATATATATATATATATATATATATATTTTTAATACAATTATATTCAGTTTGTATGGTTATGAGCTTTTAAAAATAATTTTTAAAATTTTTTATTTTTAATATTTTTTGTCTTTAGTGAATTTTTTAAATATTTTAAACAAATTAATTTGTTTTTTAGATTTAAAAAAATAAAATATTTATGAGAAATATTTTTAAAAAGCACTAAATAAATAATAATAATAATAATTTATAAAAAAAAATTTACAAATATTTTACTTTTTAAGTATAAGGTACATTTAAAAAAAATAACTAAAATATAAAATAAAAAATAACTAAATTCTAAAGACAAGAAAATAGGAAAAATAAACAATTTTTAAAAATTCAAAATCCAATAGAGTGATTGTTATTTTGTTTAAAAAAAAAAAAAAACTTCTCCTTAAAAATTTTGTGAAACTTAAATTTTTGAAATGACTCCATCTAATTTTTTTTTAAAGACATCACTACATATGAATCAATGATTAAACTAGTGATTATTTCAATAGCCAATTTTTTGTTTTTTGTTTTTTTTTTTTTATATATAATAATAATAAAAAAACACAGATTAAACAATATAATTAAAAAAAAAAACACAGATTAAACAATATCAAGCCAGTTTGCCGTTTTGAGATCATATGATGATCTTAGAACATTTTCTAGTAATCATTACAAGAGGAAAAAAACAAGGTAAGATGAAAAGAAAAGGTGAAAGGTAAAAGAAAAAGCAAAGAAGCACTTTGAATGTGTAGTCTTTCTAGGGAGTATTAATGGACTAAAAAGCATTTGTTTTGTACAAACTTTTCAAAGGCAATGCAACTTTTTGCTTTCATTGCAATACTTGTCCCATTCAATATGCTTTTAACAGTCACACCTCAAACATCAATAAATGTATTTTTACCGATCAAAATAAAAATAATAAAATAAAAAAAAATTGTGTGATTTTTAACAATTCACTCACAAGAGAAAATAAAGAATAAATTACACTGATATTTCTTATAGTTTTTTTTAAAATTTTACTTTTTGGATTCCTTTAATTGTACTTTTTTTTGTGTGTGTTAAATGTTAATAATAATTGACAGATGAACTATATTGAAATGAAATTAGAAAAATAAGATTTAAATTAATAAAATGAAAATTAGAAGAATCAAAGTGAAATTTTGATCAAATTAAAGAATTAATTAATAATGTAATTTATCCAATAACATAAAAAAGTACATAGAGAGAGAGAGAGGGAGATATTGGAATGGAGACAAAGTTTCCACAGCATGAGCTTTTGCAGTCTTTAGGAAAAGAAAGTTAGAAATGAGTCATTTAAATCAATAATGTTATATTTTTTAATTTATCACCTTTAAATGATCTTTAAAGATAGAATATTTGATAAATTAAAATTTTGATACTTATCAAACACATTATTAAAGATAATTTTTAAAAATAATAAATTAAATAGCACAAATATTTTTCTTTTTCAATATGTTTACTGTCTACTTAGCCTCCGTTTGGGAAGTGGATTGGCTTTTTGACTTTTTGACTATATGAGCCTGGGCTCAAAAGCTTAGTTTGGGAAGGACTTTTGGCTTTTTGGCTTTTTTGATTTTTTTATGAGAGAAGAGTGTAATGATTATAGGGTTAGATGAGATGTTTTGTCTGTTGTGGCTCATGAGTCTATTCTATCTTTTATGGCTCATTGAGCCAAAAAAGCCCAATGAGCCCTTGCCAAACCAACCCTTAAAGGTTTTTTCTTTCTTTTGGAAGTAGGTTTTTGCTTTTTTTGGTTTTTGTTTTTGGTGCATGAAAGTAAGGGAATTATGGGATCAGAAAGTGCCAACAATCAATGAATACATAATAGAATGTGAGTGAATCCATAAGTTTAGTATATATTTGGATTCATAATTTGAATGTGATTGTTTTGAGGGATCCAAGGCTTCTTCATCAGCTGTTTTTGCAGAGATGACCCAGTCAAAAAAGATAAAGGGAAGCACACTTAAAAAGAAATAAATAATAAAAAGTTGATAGAAGAATGTGTGTTGGAGATTTTGGATATATTGGCAATGATTTGCTTTCAACCTTGGTTTGGTTTTGTTTTCTAGTGTTGTGTGCTCATATTGAGAACTTCATCACGTGTGCACCATTTGCACTTGTTTGGACACCTAGAAAAGAAAATCAATGAAATGAAATAATTTGTTTAGTTAAGAGAGAAAAATAAAATAGAAAAAATAGTCATTTGTCTCTTTTTTATTTGATTAAATCAAGGAGAAAATAATTTTAAAAAATAGGTGATTTCTCTTCAATCTTATTTAAATAGATTATGTAACATAAAAGAAAAGAAATTCTTGCAGATTATATTATTAAAATAACTTTTTATGTTTTATTTCTTTAATGCCTAGATAGACAATTTTAGTATTACATAAAATTTCATTTCATTTATTTTCTCTCCCAATTTCTTTAATTTTGGAGAGATTTAAAAGTGAGTTGTAAGAAAAATCAATTTCTCTTAATTTCTTTTTTCTCCTCATTTCTCTTTTCCTTAGTAATTCAGATTATGATGAAAAGAATTTTTTTTTTTTTTTTTTTTACTTCCCAAATCACTCAATCAAAACAAATTGTTAGGGTTTGGGCTCTATAAGTTTAAATTTAGATTTGGTATGTCTTGCCAATATGATATGAGTTAGGCATGAAATTACCATGTTATGATTAATTAATTTTTTACATAAATTCACAAGTGACATGTTTCAATAATATGATATATATATATAAAATAGGTTAAGTCATTGTCAAACTTGTGTAATATGAATTTAATACAATTGAATTTTTAATCTATTTACTACATAAATACCAACCTCATTCTATCAAATAATATTATGTCCCCTCAATATATATATTAAAATTCATATGTTGTTTGTCCATTCTTATAATCAAAGCTTTAATTGAAGTCTTCATTGTATCTTAAGCAAGATCGGTGTCTTTTAATCGTATCATCTTTGAATTGACATGATTATAAGCAAGTTGTGTTAATACAAAAAAATACTTGACATGATTAGCTAAACATATCAAATTGATGTTAAAGAAATTATGATACGAACTTGAAATAACATGACATGATTCCCACCCTGCTAAAGCCCCAAAATGAATGATTTTTAACTGACATTGAATTTTAACAAACTCTCAGTCCAACCCAACCTGTTTGAGTCCAAGCCCTAACAGCAAACCTTGTCCAAGCTTTTGAGACCGCAATGTGAGGCCCATCCACTAGATTATCAGAGAGATTTGCATTGAATCAGGGCATCTAAACAGATTATTAGAAATATTGTTAATTAAACCCATTATCCAGGACCAGGGCAATTGTTCATGCAGTCATGGCGTGAAACAAACTCTATCAGCTTTTATTGAAACCCTGTACAAAGATCAATCCTGAGCTCCAAATTCTAGCATGAGCCCAGAAAGACAGTTGTTCAACTGATTTACACACCCAAGACAAATACTTACTCTCACATACATTCACCCAAGATCAAGCAACATAATATCAATAAATCTGTCTCAATTTTATAAGGCGATTTACGTGGTTGGATCCTTTCCAAACCTCATCATTGCATGAGTTGCCAGCATTGACCCCCTACGAGTCATTTCAATTATTCGTCCAACCAGCGGCAGCTTAACCGTCTCTCTATTCCATAGAGGTTTCTTGTTCCACCTGTCCATAGTTACACAGTTTCTTCTATCAATCGAAAGAAATACAAACACTAAATGGCAAACATTGTTTCTACTCTTCAAATTGGTAACTTTTAATAGTTTCATGACAAAAGTAGTTCACAGGGAAAGAATGTAGGAGGGAAGAGATCAAATAATCTGTTAATTTATAAAGTTCAACTAATATATACTTCATAACTAAATGTTGTCTCATGAAAAGCATATGCTAGCTTTAAGCAAGAGGTGTTCTATCAAATGCATGTTCTATTCTATGTAATAAACGAAAGTTACTTTCTTAAGCATCCTTAGAAGATGTATTTTAAATGTTTTTTTTTTTTTAAAAAAGAAAAACGAGAAAAGGGGTTTAGAATCTATTGGATCCTATTAGACCCTCATGGCACCAAATATTAACAAAAATGCATAGGTATTGGTTATTTCATACTAATCACTCTTATAATTTGTTTTGACATTTTCACTAAAAAAGAGTTAACAATGGCGCGAAATATATTGAACCCGATAATTTCGAGAATCATAAAACATGAATTGTGTGAGTCATCTATGCATGAATTGTGAATCAAATCATGAATCGTAATATATTGATAGCAGAGATTGATTGGAGACAATATAGGAGGGACGGGACCAAACAATCTGTTAATTTGAAAACTAATATATGTTCTAAATAAATGTGGTCTCAAGAAAAACATAGATTAGCTTTAAGCAAGAGGTGTACTATCAAATCCGTGTACGATGTGATAAATGACAACGACAACAATCATAGCCTGAATGCATACCAATCTTCATGACGAATGATTTTCCCATCTTCGACATATAGCTTGATTAGTGATATCATATCAATGCCTTTCCCTAAGAACTTGTAATATTGCTTGTTGTCAATTAGTATCTGAATCCATTTGAAAAGGTTAATATTCAAGTATAAAGGGTTAATTTCACTTTCATCCCTTAAACTATCACTATTTTTCTTACTTCATCCGTAAACTATCAATTTCATTTATTTAGTCTCTAAAGTTTATGATTTTTGTTCATGTGGTCTAATTGGAGACGATTGTACAAATTAGTAACTGTTGAAATCTAATTTGATGGACAAAAAGGTAAATTTATAATTTAAACAACTTATTAATTTGATAAATCATACAACTAAACACCAATTAAATTGGTTGTGTAGTGTAATTTGTTAAAAATAGTAAGAAAAATGAGTATTTTGTTGTATTCAGATTCGGAAAATAATTTATTTTCCAGAAAATTAGGCTTCAACGATTACTAATTTGTATAGTCATCTCCAATTGAAGGACATGAACATAAATTAGAAACTCTAGGGACTAAATAGATTAAATTGATAACTTAAGGATGAAGTAGAAAAATTAGTGATAGTTTAAGGGGATAAAAGTGAAATTAACCAAAGTACAAAAGAAATGGAACTAAAATGAATAAAGGAAATTATAAGATCGTTTCAAAGAGGATAGTAAGGGAAGTTTCAGACCTCTTGCTTGCTTGGTGAAATTTCATTTTCTTTGATGTTGTATTCCACGATTCTTGATTCACTAAAGATCTAGAAAATTTGAAAGATAACTTTATTATTATTTGTTACAACAATTCCCAGATGTAAAACTCCTAGAAAAAAAAATCCCACATCTAAGAAATAGTTGACGAGTTTAGAAGAATAATAGCACGCAACAAGTTGAGAAAGAAAAAGGGCAAGGGTTTGGGGTTGGGAGGGGGGAAATAGGATGGGGAATTGTATAACTTTTGGTCCCTAAAGTACATGTTCAGTGTCATTTTGGTCCCCAACATTTCAATTGTGTCAATTTCGCCTTCAAAAGTATTAAATGTGTCCTAAAGTGGTCTTTATGTCTCACAACGTCCATATTAACTATTAGAATCCTGCATAAATTTGAAAACAAAAATTACACTGCAACAAAACAAATTACTAGAATAACTTTTTGAATGACAAATTGTAACTTTTGTTTCCAAATTTACCCCTGATTCTAATGGTTAATATAGACAGTGGGAGACACAGGACACATTTAATACTTTGGGGACAATATCAACACAATTTAAATGTTAAGGATCGAATGAAACAGTGCATATTTTAGGGACAAAAGTATAATTAACCCTTCTAATAAAACAAACTCAATGGTGTTCCAAAAGAAAGGAAAATAACTTTCTACTTTTTAAGTTATTATATTGAAGTGCAAATGTTACACTTTGAGCTATAACGTCTCTATACTGCTACACTGATGCACACTTGCACATCCATCTAATTATTCACGTATTCTTCCTTTTTTTGTTTTTATTTTTTATTTTTTATTTTTATTTTTTTGTTTTTCTTCCTAAATGATACTAGTGTCACCAAAATTATGCTTACATAAAAGATAACTCTTGATTATCATCATTCTTTCTCAAAACTACACATCACAATTTAGTGAAGTAGATATCAACTCCGTTCAGTTAATAGGTCTTACTTCTAAAAAGAGTGGAGTAAAAATGAATAGATCATCAATAATCAAGTTTATACAACCTTGGGGAGTGAATAGAATGCTGATTTGATCTGCTTTATCCTGCAACCAATGGTAAAATTTAGATAAGACAACCTAAGAAAATTATAACAAGGGACTACTTCATCAATAGAGAATTAGAGATGAAAGTGATTTTCTAGGGAAAGGGATATCTATAGTTGTTCTCAGGACACAAGTCATGATTAGAATAACTGAAAGTCAAATCTACTGTCGAAGAGGTGCTTCATCAAAGAGAAACACCAATGATGCATCATACCATTGAAATCTACCCTTCCTTTATAACCTTTACATAATTGGGAGAAGGGGCGAATTGAAATTAAAATCAAAATAACATGTTGCGATATGATAATTTGATAGCAATTTTCTTTTATTTTCTCATCTACAAGGAAAGATAAAACATAAAACCAGACTAAGCAGTCATTAGACTAGTGAGAATAACCTATAACCATCACTGAGATATTCCTTTTTTAAGTAACCAATACATTGAAGTAGTTTCTATAACTTCCTCTGAAAAAGAAACCAAATAAATCTCGGCAGCAACATCTGATATTTAAGTTTTAATAATAATGTTTCATAAGAAACTAGTAAAAAGGCAACTACCAAATGACGGGAACCATTTTGGAAAATAAGAGAAGAAATCTTAACAGTCTATTAACATACATACCCATTAGCACGCATGAGTGGGTCTTCAAAGGTTGCATCTGGAGCATAGATTTCAAAATCACGAGCTGTAGCACTGGATCCATATCTGAAAACCATTTGGAATTAATTAGTGATATGGAGGTGACAAAATATCACCAACTAAAATGCCAAACCTTTGGATACATAGTTCACAAACTTATCATCATTACAATAAAATTTATCAAACTACACATGACAACAATGTACTAGTCAGTTTTAACAAGAAGCTACAATTACAGTCCCCGTAAACAGGGGTGGAGCCAGAATTCCAAAAGAAGGGGGTAGAGTGATGAAAAAAAGATTTGAGGGGCCCACCAATGAAAAAAAAATGATCCTTCATGGGTTTTTGACTAGACAATGGCAACCTTCTTGTGCCACTAAAGAGTCCTGAAATGATTACCAACCAAAATTGATAAATGTTTTCAACTAGACAGAATCATGCGTTAAACCCCTATAGAAAATCACTGGCAAAAAGCATAGGGTGTAGTAGTACTCAGAGGTTTAAGTTAAAGTACCAAAATAAGGACAAAGATGGACCTGTTGTAATTATTTGAAAACCTTCAAAGGATATGTTAGAAATGGTTTTGGAAAAACAGTCTATTTTTTAGGTGAGACCCATGGGCCAAAGTTGGCGGGTCTAAGTGATAACGCATTCTATGCTGCGTTATGATTCACGTAGTATATTTGGTTGCTCAAAATCATTATCGGATGAATGAAAAATTGAAGCCAAAATGAGCTCCATGGCAATGGAGTTTTCGTTGGAAATTCCTTAATGTTTGAATTAAAGACTTGTCCCATATTGGTTTGGTGAGAAAGCTTTTATGGGTTTATAAGGCTTGAGTTTGCATCTTGGGGAGGGTCCCAAGAGACACCCCAAGTTTGTAGAAGGGAGAAGTTATGGGTAAAGTGGGTTAAACCCATTGGATCCAAAATAAACACGCGCCGCCGCCGTCCGATCGGTTAGGTGGGCTGGGCTAGCCTGGGCTTGGGCGCGGGTACGTGGTGTGAGGTTGGGTTGGACTTGTTCAACCCAATATTTATCTTTTTGGGCCAAAAACATTTGAATTTATTTTTATATTTTATTTTTGAAAAATAAATTCTGATTGTTTGAATTTAAATTTCCAACTTAATTTCAAACCCAAACAGAACCCTCCTGTACAGTCCCATATCTGTCCGAACAGATTCAGTTATCTGTGCAAAATACTAACCGAACAGATTGTATCTGTTCAAACAAGACCGAACAGGTTCTATACCTATTCAAACAGGTTTACACCTGTTTAATTCAAATCTGAACAGCCACATTTTCTCCTACAAATAGACAAACCCTCTATTGATTTTTGTCATTCAGAAATTTTGTTCTTCTCTACTGCTTCAATCTCTGCATTTTGTTGCATTAATTTTTCTGTGAGAAAGAGTATGTGTTCGTTGTGTAAACAGTTTGCAGTGCTGCTACTGTTTATTGTTGATCATTTTATTCTGGAAGATAGGCATTCAAAATCTAAAAGGACCGTGGAAAGGAAGAATCTGTCTTAAGGACACAATATTAAACACTGGACTTGATCAGAATTTTGTTCAATAAATACATAAGGTTAGTAATTAATTTACTTTTTGTTATATTTATTTATTTTTATCATATTCTGATTTTGTTTTTGTAACAAAATAAGAATCTATTGTTTTATATTATTTTCTTTATTGGTTTGATTTTTGTAATCAAACAGTCTCTCTCCTATCTTTATTTCTTCTATTTGTTGTTAAGTACACAAACATTATTTATTCTTAATACAGTGAAGATTGTCCAACAGGAAAGACCATGAAAGATGAAATGTTCTCAAAACAAAATTAGCTCAATTACAATTTCAGTTGACACAGAGAATTTGTGTGAAATTGGAAGATTCAACTTTCTCAACTAAATACTGAAGTTAATAAAGGACATTAGCTGACAATAAATTAAGTGAATAAGATTTGAACTATGTAACAATTCAAGATTAGGTATAGTGAACAAGAAGGTTAATTTTTCAAAATTTGAAAGTGTCGTATACCTCTCTCAAGGACACTTATACCAAGCTCCCTGACTAGAACATCAAATTCTATGAGTGATTCTACTTACACCACAAAACTATCTCCTTACACCCTTAAAATATTAAATTTGTATTTTATTTTTTTACAATTTTCATAATACCAGTTTTACCCTCATCCCTACCATTGACTCTTCTCCTTACACCCATACCTTTCAAATCCTAGTTTAGAAGACGTTCAAGAATGTATTTTACTAATTTCACGTTTAAATTCTTTGGATCCGCTAATTTTTTATGCTATTTTTGACCTATTTCAAGCTTTCGATAAATGATAAAGTGATTGTATAGCAATTCAATTGCAACAACGGTTGCGTTATAGTGTGGGGGTTACTATGGAGCCCACAATAGTGCTTAAAATCCAATGCCCAAGGAGACTAGGGGGTATCGGGTATTGGTTTTGATGGATGCAATAAGGTGCATCGGGCACATTTGACAAAAGTAATGGGTGTAAACACAAATTTGGTGTCCTGCAATTAAGATACAAAACAAATGCACAAATAATTAATTTTATTGATTTGAATAAAAATATGTACAATTCTCAGTGGTTTGCTCTATTATAAAAGAACAAATCCTCTTATTTGATCTCCGAATGGGTTACAATCTAACGACTGTAGAAGCTTCTTGTTGAATCGAACAAGTTGATGGACTTCTTCAAGTTTTCGAATAGAGAAACTTGGAGAAAAGTGGCTTAATCTCGGGCCTGAATAGCTTGATCTCGAACGAGTTTTAAGATGATCTCTTTAAAAGAAGAAATAAAATTTGTATTTGTAACTTGAAAGGATCGGCATAAATTTGGAGTACTTAACAATCCTTCACTTCAAGTTTGAAGAGCTTTGGAGAGAATTTTAAGAAAAGCATTTGACAAAGTCTTGAGGTTGCTTAGGAATTTGCAAGACCTTAGCCAAAAAAATGTCTTTCATCCCCATAGTGAGAGCCGCTATTTACAGGCTTAGGAGAGAAGGGTTAATTTTGGAAACTCCAAAATTGATTTTAATTTCCATGAAAATGGCAATTTATTTCTTACATTATGACATGATTTGCATTGAAATTTGAATTATTCCACCAAATTTTGACAAAATACCCATGTGAGCCCCACACTTTTGGGTTGACCCAATTGTCAAAATAGGTTCACTTTTCTTTTGGTGTGACGCATAATTTAAAATGGGTTAAGATACATAATTTTAGTAAGACTCACATCCGTTTGAAGATTTTGACCATCTTAATTTTGATTAATCAAGAAAATTTATTTGTCTTGATTAATTAGATGGTGATCAAGACACGGAAAAATTTAAGTGTCCATAATGGGGTTACAGAACAATGGTCCAACAATCTCCTACACATTGACAACATTGTTAATTTCAGATTTTCTGCTGCTTGTTTCTTAGTAAGAACAACGAAATTGTTTAATTTTGCCGTGGGGTTACCGTGGTGGGTCGGTGGAGGTGGTGGTGATGGGGTGAAGGTGAAGAAATTAAGGTTTGAAAGGTTTGGGTATAAGGTGAAGAGTCAATAGTAGGGACGAGGGTAAAACTGATATTATGAAAATTGTAAAAAAAAATAAAATAAAATTTTAATATTTTAAGAGGGTAAGGAGATAGTTTTGTGGTGTAAGTAAAATCACTCAATTCTACCTCTATTAGTGTAAAATAGTCAAATCTAACCCTACCAATTCATTACGCAGAACTAAGGAAAAACTATTATAAAAAAAGGCTTGTTTTGACTCACTCTAATGTTTTAAGTTTTAGGACATGCTTGATTGGATGGATTAGATCATGGGATTGGGATTATTAATCGGTAGACCCAATTATCCTATGTTTGTTTTAACACTTTGGTTTAGGATTATTAATCCAACAAATTTGAAGGATTATTAGTAATGGGGTAGGGATGGGATTATTAATCCAATGGATAATTTATCCTATTAATCCAATTAGATAGTAAATACCACACTAATTTAATAAGATTATTAATATCTCACTATTAGTCTTATAAATCAAACATGGCCTTAGGGAATTTCGGATTCACAGTTATGAAAACATATGATCAACTAATCCATCTTATTGTATATATTCAATTAAGCCAATTTTCAGCTTGTTGAGGTCCCACACAGTGAGAAAAACTCAAGTCAAAGCATTTTTCAGAGCTTCCATGTTCCCATATTTTATTGGCCTCCAAACAAAGAGTATCCTGATAAATTTTCTTAGGATTAGATCCTATGTATCAACTGAAAGAAAACAAAAAAAATCAATTAAAAAAAAAAACTCACATATTGAGTATATGAGGGAGTAAGCGATCTGAGAAGAGTGTAGATGGCTTGACCTCAGAACCTTCCTTGCAAACCTTTTCCCTATGTTCATCCTTTATGGGTTCCCCATTAGCTTCACATAAACCCCAACACAAATACACATCAAATCATCAAGTAAAAATAGCCAAAATCTCAAGAAGACCTCACAAAGCTTAAAAAGAAGAAAGAACTTGGGTTAAAATTCATCAAATTGAAGAGAGAGAGCATGAGAATGATACTCATATATATATATATATATATACCTTGTAGGTGCTTGTCCATTGTAGATTCAGAAATTTTCTCCCCAAACAAATAGCTTACAGAGAGAGAGAGAGAGAGAGAGAGGCTAAAGATTGGCAAAGAAAAGAAAAGAGCGCGAGTGCCAATTGTGGGGTTTGAAGGGGGATAACGTGGCAATTGCGTGTCCATTTGCTGAAAGGCGGTTATTATCTTTCATTTGGTAGCTCAAGTCTAGTTCAAAGCTTCCTCCAAGCATGTTAACTCGTGTCTCCAGAAAATATTGCACAATTTGTATATATGTAATAAATAAACAAAAATACATAAATTTTATTTATTTTTTAAATTAAGTGGAAGGTATTATAATAGATTCATGTAATCAGGAACGGAATTAGGAGAAAATTATAAATGGGTAGTCTCTTATTTTTGCGAAAAATATAAGAATAATGCTTGGGACCCCCTTTTGGGGGTCACCCCTCACCCCCCCTTTGCCACGTGGCGGGTGGTGATTGGAGGAGCGGGAAAAAAAAGAAAAAGAAAAAGAAAATGCAACCAATGAGAGAGAGAGGGGGTCAAAGGGGGTGGGGAGAAAATGGGGGATGAATCATTGTTGAAAATATAATTTCTTATGACATTTTAAAAATGGAAAATGATTTGGAGCCCTAAAAATACCCCCTAATCCCCCTAATTTCCAATTTGGGCAACTTTTTCCCTTTTTTTTTTTTTTTTACTTGATATGGAAATTAGGGGGATTAGGGGGGTATTTTTAGGGGTTTAAAAGAAGAAATAAAATTTGGTATTCTTGTAACTTGAAAGGACGGCACAACCAGAATTCAAAGAGGAGGTAGAGTGATTAAAAAAAGATTTGGGGGCCCACCAATGAAAAAAATGATCTCAGGTTTTGACTAGACAATGCAACCTTCTGTTGCCACTAAAGAACGTCCTGAAATGTTGACCAAGCCAAATGCATAATGTTTCAACTAGACACGAATCATGCGTATAAACCTATAAAAACCTGGAAAAGCATAGGGTAGTATATTTACATCAGAGCGTTTAAGTAAGTACCAAAATAAGGACAAATGATGGACCTGTTGTAATTATTGAAACCTTCCAAAGGATATGTTAGAAATGTTTGGAACGTTCTATTTTTAGGTGCAGACCCATGGGCAAAGTTGGCGGTCTAATGATAACGCCATTCATGCTGCGTTATGATTACGTAGTATATTGGTTGTCAAAACATATATCGGAATGAATGAAAAATTTGAAGCAAATGGCTCCTGGCAATGGGTTTTCGGTGAAATTCCTAAATGTTTGAATTAAACTTGTCCATATTTGGTTTGGTGAGGAAAGCTTTTATGGGTTTATAAGGCTTGAGTTTGCATTTGGGGAAGGGTCCCAAGAGACACCCATTTGTAGAGTGGAAGAAGTTCATGGTAAAGTGGGTAAACCCATGATCAAAATAAACACGCCCCGCCGCGTCCGATCGGTTAGGTGGGCTGGGTAGCCTGGGCTTGGGCGCGGTACGTGGTGTGAGTTGGGTTGGACTTGTTCAACCATATTTATTCTTTCTTGGGCAAAAACATTTGAATTTATTTTATAGTTTATTTTGAAAATAAATCGATTGTTTTGAATTAATTTCCAACTTAATTTCACAACCCAAACAGAAACCCTCCTGGACAGTCCCATATCTGTCCGAACAGATTCAGTTATCTGTTGCAAAATACTAAGCGAACAGATTGTATCTGTTCAAACAAGACCGAACAGGGTTCTAATACCTATTCAACAGTTTACCCTGTTTAATTAAAATTCCTTAAGCCCACATTTTCCTACAAATAGACAAACCCTCTAGTAGTTTTTGTCATTCAGAAATTTTTCTTCTTACTGCTTCAATTCTCTGCGATTTGTTGCATTAATTTTTTGTGAGACGAGTATCTGTTCGTTGTGTTAAAACGTTTTGCAGTGCTGCACTGTTTATTGTTGATCATTTATATTCTGGAAGTAGCATTCAAAACTAAAAGGACCGGGAAAGGAAGAATCTGTCTTAAGGACACAAATTAAACACTGGACTGATCAGAATTTTGTTTCAATAAATACCATAGGTTAGTAATTAATTTCTTTTTGTTATTTATTTATTTTATCATCAACTTTCTGATTTGTTTTTGTAACAAAATAGAATCTATTGTTTTATATTATTTTCTTTATTGGTGCATTTGTTTGTAATCAACAGTCTCTTCTCCTACTCTTTATTTTTTCTATTTGTTGTAAGTACACAACATTGATCTTATTCTTTAATATCAGTGAGATTGTCACACAGGAAAGACATGAAAGATGAAATAGTTCTCAAAACAAAATTAGCTCAATTACACATTCAGTTGACACAGAGAATTTGTGTGAAATTGGAAGAATTCACTTCTCACTTAAATACTGAAGTTAATAAAGGACATTAGCTGACAAAAATTAACGTGAATAGATTGAACATGTACAATTCAGATTAGGTATATGTGAACAAGAAGGTTAATTTTCAAAATTTGAAAGTGTCCTGTATACTCTCTCAGAACTCATTACCAAGCTCCCTGACTAGAACATCAAAATTCATGAATGATTCTACTTACCTACACAACACTCCTTAACCCTAAAAATAATAAATTTGCTATTTTATTTTTTTTACAATTTTCAATAATACCGAGTTTTACGCTCATCCCTACCGATTGATCTTCTCCTTAACACCCAACTTTCAAACTATTTAGAAAGAACGAAATACAAGAATGTATTTTATCTATTTCGCTTTAAATTCTTTGGACCGCTATTTTTTAGCTTATTAGGGCTCGCTTGACCTATTTCAAGCTTCGATAATATGATAAAAGTGGATGTTAATAAGCAAATCAATTGGCAAAAAACGGTTGCGTTATAGTGTGGGTTTACTATGGACCACAATAGTGCTTAAATCCAATGCCCAAGGAGACTGGGGGTATCGGGTATTGGTTTTGATGGATGCAATAAGGTGCATCGGGCACATTGACAAAATAATGGTGTAAACACAAATTTGTGTTCCTGCATAAGATACAACAAAATGCACAAATAATTAATTTTATTGATTTGAATAAAATATGTACAATTCCAGTGGTTTGCTCTATTATAAAAGAACAATCCCTTATTTGATCTCCGAATGGGTTACAACTAACGATGTAGAAGCTTCTTGTTGAATCGACAAGTTGATGGACTTCTTTCAATTTTCGAATAGAGAAACTTGGAGAAAAGTGGCTTATCTCGGGCCTGAATAGCTTGATCTCGAACGAGTTTTAAGATGATCTCTTTAAAAGAAGAAATAAAATTTGTATTTGTAACTTTGAAGAATCGGCATAAAATTTGGAGTACTAACAATCCTTCACTTCAAGTTTGAAGAGCTTTGGAGAGAATTTTAAGAAAAGCATTTGACAAAGTATTGAGTTGCTTAGGAATTGCGCAGACCTTAGCCAAAAAAAATTGTCACATCCCATAGTGAGAGCCACTATTTACAGGCTTAGGAGAGAGGTTATTTTGAAACTCAAAGTTGATTTTAATTTCCATGAAAATGGCAATTTATTCTTACATTTGACATGATTTGCATGAAATTTGAATATTCCACCAAATTTTGACAAAATACCCATGTGTAGCCCACACTTGGTTGACCCAATTGTCAAATGGTTCACTTTTCTTTGGTGTGACGCATAATTTAAATGGGTTAAGATACAAATTTTAGTAAGACTCACATCCGTTGAAAGATTTTGACATCTTAATTTTTGATTAATCAAGAAATTTATTTGTTTGATTAATTAGATGGTGATCAGACACGGAAAAATTTAAGTGTCCATAATGGGGTTACAGAACAATGGTCCAACAATCTCCTACACATTGACAACATTGTTAATTTCAGATTTTCTGCTGCTTGTTTCTAGTAAGAACACGAAATTGTTTATTTTGCCGTGGGTTACCGTGGTGGGTCGTGGAGGTGGTGTGATGGGGTGAAGGTGAAGAAATTAAGTTTGAAAGGTTTGGGTATAAGGTGAAGAGTCAATAGTAGGGACAAGGTAAAACTGATATTATGAAAATTGTAAAAATAAAATAAAATAAATTTTAATATTTAAGAGGGTAAGGAGATAGTTTTGTGGTGTAAGTAGAATTCACTCAATTACCCTATTATGTAAAATAGTCAAATCTAACCCTACCAATTCATTACGAGAACTAAGGAAAAACTATTATGAAAAAAGGCTTGTTTTGACTCATCTATGTTTTAAACTTTTAGGACATTTTGATTGGATGATTGAGCATGGGATTGGGATTATTAATCAGTAGACCCAATTATCCTATGTTTGTTTTAAACATTTGGTATAGATTAGGATTATTAATCAGTAGACCCAATTATCCTAGGTTTGTTTAACATTTGGTTAGATATTATCAACAATTTGGTAGGATTATTATAATGGAGTAGGGATGGGATTATAATCAATGGATAATTTATCCTATAATCCAATTAGATAGCAAATACCACACTAATTGATAAGATTATTAATAGCTCACTATTAGTCTTGTGAATCAAACATAGCTTAAGGGAATTTTCGTATCACAGTTTTGAAAACATATGATCACTAATCCATCTTATTGTATATATTCAATTAAGCCAATTTTCAGTTGTTCAGGTCGACACAGTGAGAAAAAAAAAAAAAATAAATTAAAAAAAAAAAAAAAAAAAACTCACATATTGAGTATTTGAGGGAGTAAGCGATTGAGAAGAGCTTAGATGGCTTGACCTCAGAACTTCTCTGCAAACCTTTTCCCTCTGTTCATCCTTTATGGGTTCCCATTAGTTCACATAACCCAAAAAATACACATCAAATCATCAAGTAAAAATAGCAAAATCTCAAAACTCACAAAGCTTAAAAAGAAGAAAGAACTTGGGTTAAATTCATCAATTTGAAGAGAGAGAGAGCATGAGAATGATACTCATATATAATATATATATACTTGTGGGTGCTTGTCCATTGTAGATTCAGAATTTTCTCCCAACAAATACTTTACAGAGAGAGAGAGAGAGAGAGAGCTAAAGATTGGCAAAGAAAAGAAAAGAGCGCGAGTGTCAATTGTGGGGTTTGAAGGGGAATAACGTGGCAATTGCGTGTCCATTTGCTGAAGGCGGTATTATCTTTCATTTGGTAGCTCAAGTCTCTGTTCAAGGCTTCTCCAAGCATGTTAACTCGTGTTCAAAAATATTGCACAATTTGTATATATGTAATAAATAAAACAAAAATCATCAATTTATTTATTTTTTAAATTAAGTGGAAGGTATATAATAGTTCACGTAATCATGAACGGAATTAGGAGAAAAATTATAAATGGGTAGTCTCTTATTTTTGTGAAAAATATAATTTCTTATGACATTTTAAAATATATCTCATTTTATAATACATAAAATAGTCCCTAGTATAAAAAAAATCATATATCATTTTTATCTCATCTTGCATTCTTTTTTTTATTTTATACAAAAAAAAAAAATTTCATCCCGTTAGAAATTGTTTCTTTGGTATTTAAATTATATGTATATATATAGATATAATTTATATATTATATTCTACATACATGTGTGCTTATATATATAGTAAAAAAATTTATTTGTTTTTTAGCCCCTTCGGTGATAAAATTTTAATTCCGTCCTTACATATAATCATTAATGAGTGGTGTTGTTAAAATATAAAAATAATATTTTCAAAAATAAAATGCACCATGACTTTTCTCATAAGTTGTTTCAATCGTAAGACGAAACTCTTACCATCTATTTGCATTAAGTTATCATTTGACAAAAACTTTTGTAATTGACTTCTTAGGGTTTAAATTTTTTTAACTTGGGATTAAAAAGTTTATTTAACAAAATCTTTTAACATTTTTTACTTTTGTGAAAGAAAAAATAAAATAATTACGGTTTGGATGTGACATTTTATCTTATTAATTTATTTAACTTATTTTGTCTTTTATACTTTTTTTAATCCTAACTAAAATAGCCGAACGAAGCCCAATAATTCAATTGTCAAAGAGCTTCTAAAATGGATTATAAACTCAAACGTTTTGAACAATTCTTCTTGATGATGCACCTGAATTTACTTGATACATGTGCTTGGCGGATAATTCTGTGTATCCAAAATTTATTCTGAAAGAGAGGTTCCTTGTTAGCAGCAAATAATAATAATAATGATCTTATTTCCCTCTTTTATATACAAACTGCATCATTGTGAAAGAGGAGGGACCTGCTTAATCTTATTCCCCTTTTCTTTTTGTAATTGTTTTTTAACTTCTTTTTTAAGTGAAGAAATCATCACCATTTGTTGTCAAATAGAATGGCACAGAAAGAGAAGTAGTCCAAATAAAATCACATGATTTCAGATAAGAACTGGAAAAATCACTGTAAGTGTCATTTATACAAAGCTCACAAAGCTTTCACAAATACATAACAACTAAGGATACAAAAGGCTTCCCCCATTTCACAAAGCAAATGCATATAGTGCCGCCGCCTACTTTATTTATTTCTAAAAAATTTCCTTATTTTCCTGGTAACACGTAGATGAAATGTTGTAGGCATGCCCATCTCATCACTGCATTGAGAGAGGATACCACCACTGCACTGAAGAAAATTTGCACAAAGGGGACCTCCATAACGGTTATTGTAGTGAACGAAAAGACCAATATATCCCCCACCAACTTGATCAAGCCAGAATCTACCGCTTAGGTTCATTTAAACTCATCCCCTCAAAAAATTCACCGAGCATTCGGTCAAGATCCTCTGCCGTATATCTGATATACTTCTGGGGGTTCTTACCATTCTCAACCAAAAGCCTGTGACACATTATAAAAACAAAAATAAAATCAAAATCACAAGAAATCAGTCAGTGAAGAGGGCTCTGCATATATAACACAAACATAACATAACATATAGGACAAGCATATTTTGTTTGTGACTCTTTTTTTACCCATATCATTTCATAACGTTTTGAGCATATAGCACATTTTAAGTGGAAGAGGTTACCACAACTTTTTCACATAATTTCATTTCAATTTTTAACGAAAACATCACAGGAGACAAATTTGTGCCTTCAAATGCTCCAAAAGAAAAAGAAAGAAAGAAACATGAAGGTTGTGAATTATAAGAATACACACCCAAAGCGTTTGATGAAAGATCTGTACGCTGGCTTTTTAATCCTAACTAAAATAGCCAAACGAAGCCCAATAATTCAATTGTCAAAGAGTTTCTAAAATGGATTATAAACTCAAACGTTTTGAACAATTCTTCTTGATGATGCATCTGAATTTACTTGATACATGTGCTTGGCGGATAATTCTGTGTATCCAAAATTTATTCTGAAAGAGAGGTTCCTTGTTAGCAGCAAATAATAATAATAATGATCTTATTTCCCTCTTTTTTATACAAACTGCATCATTGTGAAAGAGAAGGGACCTGCTTAATCTTATTCCCCTTTTCTAGAGGTGAGCAACAGATATACCGATCCGTCAAAATCGATCGAACCGAACCGATCCGTCGTATTTTGAACGGATGCGTGATAACGAGCGGACGGTTGCAGATTGATTTTCTCCAATCTGCCAATTTGGCGGACGGATGGCGGATTTGAGGTTCCTCTGGCCGCAACTGAACCGCCAAACCGTGAGCACTCTTAGTAATTTATAAGACTTTGTGTTTTTAATTTGTTTAAATATTTTGTTTGTATTTTCAATTGAAAAAAAATTTAAATATTTCTGTTGAAAAAAAAAATTTCAACTTGAATATATTTTTTGAATTGAAAAAAATAAACATATTATTTGTCTATTTGGTTTTTAAATCTAACTCTAAAAGTAATAAATAGGAAATATGATATATGCTAGTTGGTTTTTGTTTTCAAAAACATATATAAATGTAACAATACAGAGACATACAGTCTCTACTATTGCTCTATTCATGGTTTTGGTAGTTTGAATTGTTTTTATATTTTAATAACGTAATACTTTATGTGGATGAGGCATGCTGTGATTGTAATATGTGGATGAGGTATGCAGTAATTGTAATACTTTTTTAAGTCATTGACTGTAATACTTTCTTTCTTTTTTTTCTTTTTTTTTTGAGAAAGTGCACAAGTTGAACTATGTTGAAAATTTATAAAATTTCAAACCACTAAACCGATTCGCATCCATCCGCCAAACCGCCAATCTAGTCAATCTACATCCGCTGGATTGGCGGACGGATGCGGATTAATTTTTTCCAATCCGCCAATCTGGCGGACGGATGGCTGATTGGAGGTTCTGTGACCGCAACCGACCCGCACCCCCTTTTCTTTTTGTAATTGTTTTTTAACTTCTTTTTTAAGTGAAGAAATCATCACCATTTGTTGTCAAATAAAATGGCACAGAACAGAAGTAGTCCAAATAAAATCACATGATTTCAAATAAGAACTGGAAAAATCACTAAAAGTGTCATTTATACAAAGCTCACAAAACTTTCACAAATACATAACAACTAAGGATATAAAAGGCTTCCCCATTTCACAAAGCAAATGCATATAGTGCCGCCGCCAACTTTATTTATTTCTAAAAAATTTCCTTATTTTCCTAGTAACTGTAGATGAAATGTTGTAGGCATGCCCATCTCATCACTGCATTGAGAGAGGACACCACTGCACTGAAAAAAATTTGCACAAAGGGGACATCCATAACGGTTATTGTAGTGAACAAAAAGACCAATATACCCCCCACCAACTTGATCAAGCCAGAATCTACCGCTTAGGTTCATTTAAAGTCATCCCCTCAAAAAATTCACCAAGCATTCGGTCAAGATCCTCTGCCGTATATCTGATATACTTCTGGGGGTTCTTACCATTCTCAACCAAAAGCCTGTGACACATTATAAAAACAAAAATAAAATCAAAATCACAAGAAATCAGTCAGTGAAGAGGGCTCTGCATATATAACACAAACATAACATAACATACAGGACAAGCATATTTTGTTTGTGACTCTTTTTTTACCCATATCATTTCATAACATTTTGAGCATATAGCACATTTTAAGTGGAAGAGGTTACCACAACTTTTTCACATAATTTCATTTCAATTTTTAACGAAAACATCACAGGAGACAAATTTGTGCCTTCAAATGCTCCAAAAGAAAAAGAAAGAAAGAAACATGAAGGTTGTGAATTATAAGAATACACACCCAAAGCGTTTGATGAAAGATCTGTACGCTGGCAACAAGACTTCAGCAACTGCAAGCTTCAGAGATTCACGCAACTCAGTGTCAGGAACTGTCCATTGAGACTGTCTTTGATGAAGCTCCTCAAACTGGATATTGAACGTCTTCAACCTGATAGCACAAATTTAGTTTCTCCTCAGCTAAGATTTCTGGAACAGATGAGTGTGGAAATAAAGGATATTTTAGGAAAGATTCAAAATTGACCTGTCTTTAACTATTGTTCTTGAAGCTCCACTACTGTTTCCTCCATCACCACCAACTGAATTACCACTACCCCCAGATGAGTTCAGGCCTGGTACAGAGAGGCACTGCAGAATCTGCCAAAAACCAAAATTAAAAATAAAAATAAAAAGAAAAAGAAAAAGAAGTGGACCACAAATCATGTTTAGAGTGGCTAATTACTATTGAAACATCAACTATACTAACCATATTTCATAGGAAAACTATAGGCTTTTAATTACACGATGGCACATCAGTTTGGGCTTCCAGAGTGAATAATAACATTTTTTCAGTGGAAGGAATGAAACAGAAGAAGCAAATTAGAGACGACATAAAAGCATGATAGATGATTACATAAAGCAATATTCCTATGTTGTTCGATAACACACCTCTAGTGATGATGATAATTTAACATTTGTTTCCCATTCCAGTTGGACATTTTTTAATGCTTTCTAGTTTTTTACTGGCAAGTGGGTAGGGCATGATGCCCGAATGAACAGCATATGTCTACTTTGTATCTGCTAGATCATCTAAAATAGTCTGATCTAATCGCCCTCAACACCCGGATACCAAAGATGAGACTGGAGATAAAGAATGGTGAAACAACTTAAGAATGTGAATGAGGGTGCATGATAGTGTAGCAATGCTTAAACCAAATAAAAAAAAAATTATAAGGTCAAAAGTAGCAGCCAAGGCCCAAGCACATAACACACAGTAGAAGTATGGTTTTTTTTTCTTTTTTTTTATAAGTAATAGAAGCACGGATTTCATTTGTGTAACTTCACATAAAAGCAGGACATGAAATGACTACACCACCATACAGAGAGAGCATGGATACCTAGAGAAAACAAGATACAATTTCAAGTAAAACCAACAATAAAAACATGAAGCACCAATGGTAAAAACCAAAAACCAAAATTAATTATATTTTGGGGTATGCATAAGCTGACAGAACAAAACCTTTGCCCAAGCAATCCGCTTATACTGATTTGCATGTTGCTGCACAATCCTCCTGTGTCTTTGGACCCAATCATCTCCTAACAAATCTTTTGCTTCGGACCTAAAACCAACACAATATAAACATTAATACTGTCATGCATACCAGACAAGCTTGCGATGCATTTAAGTTTTAACAAAACATCTGAAACAACAAAAGTGTAAGACAAACCTCCTTACAGATCTGACCATGTAGTGAATATTGTTCATTAGAAACAAGTTATTCAGAGCAGGATCCTTATACTGCTTTGACTTCCCATCCAAATTGGTTTGAAGTGCCTGCATTATTCGCATTGTTACAGAAGCCAACTGAGAATTTGTTTCCCCTCCATTCTCAAATTCTTGAAAAAGTTGCTTCAAGGTTGATTGATAGCTGAAACATATTTAGAAATTCATTCAGGTCAATTTTGTTCAGAGCTACGGATGTGGATATGGACACGGATACGGATACGGATACGGATACGGATACGGACACAGACACGGACACAAGATATGGCAATTTCAAAAAAAATGGGGACATAGACAAGGCGGGGACATGGCAATAAAATATATTTTTATTTGCTATTTAAATTAATATTACATCCACAAATAATCAATATTAACAAAAACTAACTCTAACTCTTCTTCTTTTCTATTTTTTTTTTTTTAAAAAAAAAACTCCTTTAAATTAACGCTTACAGTTTATATATTTGTTTATGGATGATCTATTAAGTATTTAAATCTAAGAAAAAAATGATCATTATTCAACATTCATCAAAGGCACTAAATAAAATGTGGGAAAAAACAACTTGACATGTCCCTAACGTGTGCCCAAAGTGTTCTCAGCATGTCCTATAAAAATAAATAAATTAAATAAGGGGACACGCCATGTAGTGTGTCCCATACATGTTCCCGAAGTGTCAGCGTGTCCCTGAAGTGTCCGTGTGTCCGACATAGATAAGGCACTTGTTTTGAAGTGTCGGTGCTTCATAGGTTCAGAGAGTCAATGGCAATCAGGAAAAAGAGAAGCTGAAAAGCATACTGATACCAGCTCAGTTAAAAATTTTATATTGAAAAGACCAAGAGAAATTAGGTCCCAGTTGGTTGATATTTGTTAAACTGCATAATCTCTGGTGTTTTAAAACATTTCCCAACATGTATTAAGACCATACATTCCTTTTTTGAGAACAGTAATCCATAAAGTTGACATTTGCAACTTTAATTAAATAAAAGTTCAAAGATTTCTGAATCTTTTAGAAAAGCAGAAAATCAAAGTCATAAAATATGTGACAAAAAGTTGAATCAGGCTGATCGGTTAAACTGAATTCACATTAAGATTTTAAAACCTGAATGACACAATCACAGAAAGGGGAAAAAATCATTTAAAAAGTTAACAAGCATGCATACGAATAATTCAAACATTTAATAAATAAAGATAGTGCTCGAATAGAAACTTTTATAACCTTAATTATTGAAGACAAATAAAGAGCAATATGGATGAAACTGTAAGTCGCCCAAACCCAAAAAAGTATGGAATGGTATATAAGGAAACATAGTTTATTAGACTTACTCAAATAAAAACTTCACATAGTTAATGACATAGCTTGTCAAAGGATGAACAGTTCCATCCAACACAGCAGTTTTTGTTGCATCCTTTTCAACCGCTTCTTCAAAATCACCAAAGGTCTCTTGGGCTGTCTGGGCAAGCTGCTTCATCAAACTCAATGCAGATTCCCTAATTTCACTACAAGCTTTACCTTTGAAAAGCGTTTCAATCTGCCAAGAATTCAGTTTTAATTTAAATAAAATCTGTTTATACACCCCAAGCAGTATAATAAAAATCAGTTTAGACTCTGACACCCACTTTGAACTAGAATGTTCAATTCTCTAATTAAGATTTCTTTTTTGCTGATTCAATGATATATGATAGCTCGATAAATTATTTCAGCAAACTATCGACCATAATTAAACCTGTGATTATATAAGTCAATATCAACATAGGAAGAGTGTAAGCATGGAAAATTTCAGCCAATTACAATTGTCATGTCCTGCAAAGGCCTACAAAATATGACACAATTATTGGCAAATCAAATATTGCCACACGTTAAAATGATGTTGTAAGTCCTTGGTTAATCAAATTAAACTATAATGACGCAGCAAATAAGTTTTTGACAAATTAAATTAAGTCACTTGTCACATTGAGGTGGTCAAACCAATAAAATTATGGCACACCATTAAAGTGATATTTTGGTATTTATCTCTAAATAAATCAGAGAAAATTATCAAAGAAGTCGATGTCTATTAAGACTCTTCTCCTTCCATTCCTATAAATAGGGGTGATCTCCACCAAAATTTTACGTACAATTCTCCATATAATTCTACATATGCAAAATCAAGTTGTAGAGAGAAAAATCTACATCAAGAGAAAGCTAAGCTCTAAAGCCCCGAAGGTGTTTTCTCCAAAGCCTATCAATCTCCATAAAGCATAAAGTTTGGAGATTCAATCAAAGTTCGTCATCAAACTTTGCAAATCTATAGTCGTCTTCTATTAAATTAAAGAGTATTCAACAAATCTGATTTGGAAAAAAGATATCAAGCCCTCAAGTCAAATTCCTACAAATTTGTCATCTTCTTCATGTTACTTGGAGGAGATTTTGCCATTCGATTTGGGAACAAGTTGTCAAGCCCTCGAATCAATTTATTGAAGAGAAGAATCAAAGGATTTTCTTTGATTAGATATTTTATAAGCGATTGTACTTCTTTTATTTTAAATCAATAAATTTATATTTGTTACTCTATTTTTCTGTCTTTATTTTTGTAGACAAGAAATTTGTGTATACAAAGAGAAAAAAGGCTAAGCCAGTGTAATTAAACAGAACAACGGATAATGGAAGTTTCTAAACTACACCATCAAATGATTTGAACCCTAGTATGAAGATGTTAACCTTTTATAAGCATCAATATGTATTAATGTTTCACAACTGGAAAAAAGAAAAAAGAATGTAAAAAAACTAAAACAAAATGAGCATTTAAGAAGTATTGGGCATAACTTAATGACCTTTACAAAGAACCTAAGAGCCATAATAATATAGGTTTAAGATATAGACACCCCTTGAAAAGCATCATAATACCAACTCTAAAAGCCAAGATCAACATACCACACTCCCCACAAACCTAAAAATGAGTATAACAAAATTGATTACTATTAAGTTGTAACTTGTAGACATTACATGCAGATCACCAATATCAAAAAATTTTACATTATGACATTTTGTATTCACCCTAATTCTCATACCATTGTTTTAGGGAAATAATTTCATACAACTAATTATCTAAGCACTGTGACTAAAAACATAAATTAGCATAAAATTCTACCAGATCCTATTACTACAGTTTCTAGTTACTTTCTAAGATGTCTATTAATGAGAGAATAAATCAATTTCAGGAAAAATATTGACTTCTTGTCAGTAATTGGTAAACTGAGTGTTTCCTTAGATGTGTAACGTAAACATACCTCGGAGTGAAGTTCTCGCATTATTTCATACATGTCTAAAAGCACAAATAACTTTTCAGGTGATCTCTTGCTTTTGGCAATCGCCTCTCCAAAACTAAGTAGCACAGCAACACTACTTGCTGTAACTTCAGCAAAACATTGATCCCTGAGAGAATCGATGCCTTCAAACATATGATTGCAGACTTTTCGTTCCCCAGCAAACACTAGTTTGACCTGCTTAACATGATTAGATAGTTGGAAGAACATATATCCATATATTTATGAATTCCAATCACAACTTACAGCAATCCGCATGAAATGAATCCAATTCCCAATCTTAGCCTCCAAAACCTCCCACTGCATCTTCTGAACATCATCTTTGCTAAGTTTTTCAACTCCCAATTTGAGAAGGCTTTCTTCCAAAACTGAAGAACGGGTATCCCTGAATGAAAAATAAGATAGTATCATAAATTCATAATATTACAGGATCATATGAGGGTATTTTACAAGGCAGACCAATCCAACTTTGATTTTCCCATATGTATGCATTGCTTCTCTGGTAGTCCTTGTGAATCTTATGACCCTTCAATAAACAGATCGGGATACTGAATATGGTAGGTAATACAACAATACAAGAGGAAATTCTCACCGGTAAGAGGTTGGGTTTTCTACTCATAAATATGGTAGAAAATAGGCAATAAAATTTGAATCACCATGCAATATATGTATTGAGAAAACAACTTCTTTAGTGGCTTTTGCAAATGGAAGCAACCCAAGATTTCACTCAGCACTCAAACATACAAAACTAGAAAGAAAAAAACTCATTCGTTTGAGAAAAATTAGAAAAGAATAATAATCATTAGGTGCATTAAACCAACAAAATATGATCAGGTCCATTCTTTTATTTTTAAATTGGCTTCATACTTCTGCACTTTCCTTTTTTGTTATTTTGTTTCTCTGTTTTCTTTTTCACAAAATTTTTCCATTCCCTGGCGTTAGTACAGATCAACATAGTGTCAATTGTTTGAGTCTCTCTTTATTATTGTTTTTCTATGGAATACATATTAGATACTAAAATTTTGTGTTTCCAAGGGAAAAAGAAAAACGAAAAGGAAATACAATGTTCCTGCTTTACTTCTTCATAAGTTTGCAGACAGTTAGGTGGATTTGCATTCTAAAAAGGGTCACCCACTCAAATTAAAGACAATTTCTGTAAAAGAAACTGAACAAAATGGAGGGGGAAAGAAGATAAGTCAATCAATCAAAAGGTTCTTACATCACTCGCTGTTGTTCAGTAGCCCAAAGATGGATTTCATATACCATCCTTTACTGTCATAGTCTTAGCAAATTTACTTTCTGCCCCACCATAAAATGATCCTAGCTTTGCCCCGGGCTTTGAGTTGTGGTGCTGCTTCAGGAAGGATTGGGTCAGGTTGGTCATAAACTAACCGAACAATTATTAGCAAAAGCTCTAGTACAGAATCTTACAATTTGCGATTTGATTCACGATTTCGATTCGCAATTTTTGCAAAATCGATACATATCTATGGGTGAATCTCTAGTGAATCGATACATTTCAATTCACAATCGAATCATGATTCGATCCATGCAATTCTTGAAACTATCATGTCTGATATACTTCGATTATTTATTTTTTCTTTTTTTTTTTGGTTAAGATGACATAATACAACTTCTAACAATGTTTAGTACGAAAATAACCAATATATATACGTGATTTGTCGTTATTTTGGAGATTAGAGAGATTTTAATAGGATTCAATCAAATTCAATCAAACCCAACATGCTTTTAACCTTTTCTTCTGATTTTTTTTCTTAAAAAAAAAAAAAAATCATAATGTATCTTCTAAAGATATTTAAGGTTAAAGTAACTTATAATATGAATTATCTATTGCTATTTTATTAAAATAAATATACTTCAATATTACATGAGTGAGGTCAATTAAACATGATGGTTCTACAAAATATTTTTTTAAATAATAAGCATATACACATTTTAAAATGCTTTAAGTTTTAAAATAAAATATTCCAATTAATTTGTTCTTATTATTGGGTCATTATTACTTGTAAAGGTATGTATGCTTATGAAATATCAACATCGTCGTTGTTGTTGTTGTTTTTTTTTTTTTTTTTTGGGTTAATTACAAAAAAAAACCCCAGGATTTCATGCCTTTTTCAATTTAAATCTCAGGTTTTCAATTTAGACAATTTATACCCCATCCTTCCACTCGTGTTTCAATCCAATCCCTCCGTCCATCTCCGGCTCTATTAGTTAAGGGAAGATTGATTTTGGCGCCAAAGAGTGAAGCAACTTCAATGGACCCATTCAAGAATGTTCGCCCCGGAATCCCATGCAGCTGTTCTTCCCTCCTGCAATCAAAGAAAGAATTACGAGACCCGGGTCTCTTCTTTGAGCTCTTCCTCTTCCTAATCCCCAGAGGGGAACTTAGGAGAGGGCTCCTGCTATCAAATGACAAGCAGGACCACATCCTAAGGGCCCTGATAATACTTAGTATGCACTCCAGCCCAGCTATGCAGTCACACCCCCTATTTTCAGTAGACGAATCCGTCACAAAAACTGTCTAGAAAATCCCTACAAAAAAAAACTTCTTTTTTTTTTCGGAGGGAAACTTTCAACCTTTAGCCCCCCTTCAATCATGCAATCAAATCCAATTAACGCAATCCGGGGTTGATGCAAAAGAACAAAGATGGGAAATTCTAACAAACTGTCTAGAAAATCCCTACAAAAAAAACTTCTTTTTTTTTTCGGAGGGAAACTTTCAACCTTTAGCCCCCTTCAATCATGCAATCAAATCCAATTAACGCAATCCGGGGTTGATGCAGAAGAACATTGCAAATTCAATTCTGAAATCTAGAAAGGAAAGCACTTTCAATAAAAGGATAAGCACAAAAATAATTATTATGTCAATCTCCACCTACCGTTTCCCTTTGCTTTATGGAAAAACTAATGGAATGGAACAGAGATCTATTTGACCTTTCCTTTCTATTCTCTAAAAGCAAAGCAATCAAAATCCCTGTTTTTTTCCCTTTGCAAAAGCCTCCCCCTTGAATGAATGCAAACCCAAATCAAAAACCAAAAATCACCACACCTATAACTAATTAGGCGGAGTTGGATCAAATATCAAGTACCCAAAATCATTAACTCGAGAATTCGACGCTTGGGAATGTTTCAAAAGCACTCAAAATTCCCCAATTAGAGAGAAAGCAACACTTCTTTAGCAGATTGAACACCAGTCAATCCAACAAAACCCATAAATAAACACAAAGAAGAAACAAGATATAAACTTGCTAGTAGAATGTAAAGTAGAGAGAGAGAGAGAGAGAGAGAGACAAAAACACAACACAGAAGAAGAAGATGAAGATAGGGCCTTTTTCTCTATTTTCTCTCACTGGGCCATATGTATGTAGCATTGCTATCAAACTCGTATAAAACAACCAAAAAACAATCTTCTGTTAACTAATAGAGACGGAGATGGATAGGGGGATCGGATTGAAACACGAGTGGAAGGATGGGGTATAAATTGTTGAAATTGAAAATCTGGGGTTTAAATTGAAAAAGATACGAAATCTTGGGGGTTTTTTTGTAATTAACCCTTTTTTTTTTTTTGATCGGCGAAAGTCAGTTGTTAGTAATTAGATTAGCACCTATAGAGTTAGCCTCCCCACCTTTGCAAAGCACAAAGTGCTTACCTCCTACTTCAACTCCCCCTTAGGGAGAGTTGAACTCATGACCTCTTTCTTGAGACTAAGCCCTCAGCAGAGTCATGGTGGTCAATTAGGCAAGGCCTAGTTGATAGGGATTAAGCCCTGTCAACATTGTTGTTAAATTATTATTACTTGGAAAATTAAGAGTTTGTTTTCGTTTACTTTCTTTATTAAGAATGGTTGATAAATAATATCTAAAAAAAAAGAAAGGTAAAATGGTGACCTTACATGAGAACTTGTGTTAATTTCTTACGGATTAGACCACATGATCATCATTCAAAATAATATTTTCATTAATTTAATTCTAAATATTTTATATTTATAAGATATATTTAACATCAAAGTGTGTAGATTTTATTTTTTAAAAGTAATTTAGAAAAAGTGACCGAATCTTACGATTCACAATTCGATTTCACGATTTGACAACTACGAGCAGAAGTAATAGGCATGTGCACCATAGCTGCCATTATATAACCTACATAACACAATTTCTCAAACACCAAAGCATAAATATTGGGCCTGTTTGGTATTGTTTTTGTTTCCTTTGTTCTCATTTTTCATTTTTATTTTTAGTGTTTTCTAAATAAAAAACAATGAAAATTTCGAAAACACACATTGTTTTCCTATTATTTTCATTTTGTGTGAAAACGCTTTTTGGGGCTTCTTAAAACATGGATTGTTTTTCAGAAAAATTTTCCGAAAACAATTCACCAAACAAGTTTTTGTGTTTTCTAAATAATGAAAACAAAAAATGAACATGATACCAAACAAGCCCAATGCTAAAAAAAAAATAAAATAATTCCAGAGAAAAAGGAATAATGCAATGTATTCCTAGACAAAATTCAATTGCAGAAACGATGAACTCATCTGTAAATGTCCAAACCAACGAGTAGTAGTGGACACATAGGACCAAGAGTGTCAGATCTATGTGCCCAAAACACCAATCATCAATAGGGACCAATTCCTCATTTGGGAACATGTTATTTTTGTAACTTTTTGACTTTTTACGAAAAGATGTGCAGAAAAGTAAAGAGAGTGATGTGACAACTTAGTAGTTGTTTGGGATGTGCTATATAAGTGCATTTTTTGACTTTTTGGTTAAAAATGTAGAGAAAAAAAAACGATGTATATTTGGGATAACTTTTTGACTTTTTACGAAAGAATGTGTAATAAAATATTATAGTAAAATCAAAATGACAATTTTATCCTTTTGACTTTTTGACTTTTTGGGTAGTTGAATTCAAATAATTTTGCCTTAGTGGCTTCCCCCACAAGCTACCCTTAAATAGTATAGATTTTTTAGCTTTTTTAGTAACTTTTTGACTTTTTGACTAAAATATGTAGTCCCTAAACGAGTTAGTAAGAGAAGTGGCTTATTTAAGCTAGTAGCAGATCCCAATTAATGCAACCTAATTATTCTATCATATTGATTCATCTATTTCGTTGAATACAATCCAGTGTAATAAATACCCACAAAAAACTTAGGCCATGTCTGTTTGGATGGACTGGATTAGATTGGATTAGCATTTTCATGACTAATAATCCTAAGACTACGAATCTTTTAGATTGTGTATCCTATCTTATGTTTAGATTGAGTTAGGATTATAAGGAGAGACTAATAGTCCAAATTTTGGCTTAGTCCTCCAATTTATATCGCACCCCTCTCTGTAAGATTGAATAGTCCATATATGGATACCATATCTGGATGGATTGTTAATCTGTATTTCAATTGTTTAACCAAATATCAGATTCATAATTTTATTAGACCATTAATCTAATCTCAAACTCATGTCTACCCAAACAAACATGGCCTTGGTTCAAATATCACACCACATTGGATACAAATGGAGATCTTTACCTGTATATTTTCAGCAATTGCTGTTGGTGACCAGCTTTAACCATTTGTTGGGCTAAATTATGTAGCAATGGTAAAATCCGAGGTAATATGAGAGTAGGAAGCGTGTAAACAGCATTTTCCAGGTTATGGTTGTGGTGTTCAGTGTGACTATTCTTGCCATTAGAATTTCCTTGGTTTCCTGGTGATTCTGGTGACGGCCGCAATTCACTTGGGAGGCATTCAAAAAGACGTTCAGGTTCCACCGGTTTGCTGAAGACACAGAAATAAAAATAAAATAAATGCAACTTACTTGAAAAAGTAAAACAGCCAGAAATGTACTAAAGCGTAATAAATGGGTGACGTCTCAAGTAAAAATATACGGGTGCCTCTATTTACGCACCACATTTGGTCTCAAGGCACATCACTTACTTAATGCACACAAAACACAATTTTAACTTTATTATTTTTGCTCAATACACACCATCTATTTTCAAATATACCTAAAATATCCTCATCTTCTTCAACCATCCCACCAATCCTAACCCTAACCCTAGCAGCCGCCGCTGCCACTTGCCGCAGGTCGTCGCCTCTCCCTCCTTCTTCTCCAGCGAATCTCTGAGAGAGGAATGTGAGATGGAGATGGGAATGATTGCCATACTATTGTGTCTGTGGTTTGAGCATTGGGGACGGAGAGTCAACAGTTGGTGGATTTCAAAGAGTATTTCTTGGGGCGTTATTCTAAATCCATAGGTTATGTGCACTTAAATACTCAAGTGGATTAGTCAGGATTCAAATCTTTCACTCCCCATTTTGTAAACGAACCATATCGATTTGAAAGATCCACATGCCTCGAATCCTTAAACCTAACAGAGCCGTAGGGAATTTGTGGGTGTTTGTGTGTTTTAGTTATATCTCAAGGATTAGTTCTTAGCATTGTGTGTCTGGTGAGCAGCACCTAGTACAGGTGAAATACTCAAGTGGATTAGTCAGGATTTCAAATCTTTCATTCCCCATTTTGTAAACGAACCATATCGATTTGAAAGATCCACATGCCTCGAATCCTTAAACCTAACAGAGCCGTAGGGAATTTGTGGGTGTTTGTGTGTTTTAGTTATATCTCAAGGATTAGTTCTTAGCATTGTGTGTCTGGTGAGCAGCACCTAGTACAGGTGACCTATTGTTATCTATGCCTGTACATAATAAGTGGAGTCTGCTGTCTCTTGTTCTCAGATCCCCTTTGTTTTCTATAATCAACTAGATAGTGTCTGTGATGATTTTTGGACCATGAATCACATACACTACTTTGATATATCCTTTCTATATTTTTTTGGGTCTTTCATGATTTTTTTGGGATAATTTATTTCTGAGTGTTGCTTGTATTGTATACTACTGCATTTTGTCCTACTAAGTTAACTCTAAGTAAGTAAGTGATCTCCATCTCAAAGGCTCTGTTCTTGGCAACACATAGGATCAAAGAGAGTCAATCTTGAATTTGAAAAGTCGAATTTCATTCAACAGGGAGAAGGGTTTGCATAGGGGAAACGGGTCGCCAGCGAGGTAGGGAGGTTGTGAGGGTTGCGATAGTGGCTGGGTTTCGGTGACGATGGCCGAAGGTAGAATCAGGTAGCGGAGAGTGGTGGTGTGTGTGTGGTGGGGGGGGTGTATTGATATTCTTTTATGGTCATTTTATGTAAGGTTATTATTATAATAAAAAATAATTAATTAATGGTGTGCCTTGAGAAAATGTGGTGTGTAAATAGAGGCACCCAAAATATACACATATTAAATATAAAACGTATAAATTAATAACCTCTAAAAAGGAACAAGTTCTGAAAATCCGATTAAACCACAAAGTTGGTGAGACAATACCACAACAGACCCTGCTTATGCAGAATTAAGCATGGCAACATTTGTAAGATAAGAAGCAGTTTCAAACTAAGAATAGTAGCACAGAACCAAATTACATGCAATATAACTTCTTGTCAGTTAATGACCTTGATGTGATGATTAATAATTATTTAAGTGTTAAACAGAAATCAGAATGTGCAACACATTCCTGACATGCATAGGATGTGGTATTAATGGAAGACATAAAAAGCATATAGCGCGAGTCGTGACTGAGTCACCAAAGTAGTTATCCTAGACAAAGCAGAAAAAAAAACAGGATTCAAGTCAACCCCTACTAGTTGGGATGAGACCTTGTTGAGTAGAAATTGGTGGGAAATGGAACAATAGATTACAAATATTTTCCAGCACCAGAGACACAACACAACAACACCATTAAGACATAAACAAGAAGGAAAAAGAAAGCATAATCAACAAAACAAGAAGGAAAAAGAAAGCATAATCAACAAAGCAAGAATAAACCTGTAGGATGACAAGAGTTGCTTGAACTCCTCTTCCAACTTTGAAATAGCCTTAGAAAGTAAACTATTTGTATGGTTGAGTACCCCATCACTACTCTTAAAGCTTTTGTTGTTGCTGAAAAATCGAATGCTGCTTCTTAACTGCTCGATTGCTTCAAGATAACTTTCCAGGTCTTCACGAGGACCTTTAAGTATTTTAGCCTCCACCTTGATGTTGGAATAATAGAATATCAGCAATGGTAAACTAGAAACATATATAACAATAACAAGCTATGAAGCACGGACACCTTTCCGGAGGTTATGTACAGATTTCTGACACGTGTCAGACACACTGGAGAGAGCTGGACACAGTGGGACACGCTAAGAACACGTTGCGGGACACGCTAAAAACATGTGTCGGGACACGCTGAGAACCCTTTTTCTTTTTCTTTTTTTTTTCTTTCTAAAATAACATACCTAAGATTGATAAATTTGACAAAATTAAATATCTGATGTAAAAATAAATATTAACTATTAACAAATATAACATCTATCAAATATATAAAATTATATATTTTGCTCGTGTCCCCAACTTGTCATATCCTACATTTTTCAAGTAAATAAATGTTTGAGTGTTGGCTATGTTTATATCAAGTAGTTATTATACACCTTCAACAAATTTCAATTTATCATTTAAATGCTTTGAAGTTGACAATGTTGTTTCTGCTAATTTCTTAGAAAGGTGCCACAACTGTACACAATAAAAATAAATATTGAAAGAATATTGAGCAATCAATGTATTAAATAACCCTAGCACTAAATAAATGACAGATACAAGCATGAACATTGGATAATCCATAAAACTGACCTGACGAAAAAGATCAAATTGATCCAATATAACCTCTGCAGCCTTCAAAGTCTTATCAATGTTCTCATGAGCTTTCCGAATTGCATGTGTCCTAATCTACAAAAACCAAATTTAAGTAACATAGTAAGAACAATAAGAACAAGGCAATGTGAGGATGAAAGTAAGCCTGACACAGGGACAAGATCAAGCAGAAAGTAGGCCAAAGGAAACCCCTACTAAAATCTGTTTGGTAGCTAAGAAAATGTAGGGGGAAAAAATAAACTAGACTAGTAAAAACTTACATTGACTGCAACAACAATCATCTAGAGTAAGCCTATTCGAGCAAGTACGGCTGGGCTTTTCATTTTTAGGAACCAGAAACAAAATATCACAATAAATTTTCTTTTACTTTTCCGTTTTCAAAAGCAAATAATCAGAGAGTGAGCTAATCAAATCAAATCAAACAAACACGTCTTTTTCTAGGAGAAAAATTGCTTCACCCCCTTATATACTATCACATTTGTGTTACTTTACCGTTAAAATGTCAATTTAGTTCATTTGAACCATAACCTAACAAAGTTCATATTTTTTTTACAAGAATATCACATCTACCAACACACCCGTGGTTGAGTGTATTGATTCACTTTGCCCTTTGCCACATAGTTTGAGACAAAATAAAAATAAAAATTAACCAAATTGTTTCAAAAACACAACCAATTTGTTTTAAAAATATTCAATAAAGCAAAAAATAAATAAATAAAAATAATCGTAACAAAACTACTATTTGAAAAAATGATTAAAAGGTGACTATTTGACTTTTTTGATTTTTTTTTAAAAAACGTGAAAAATGATATGACTTAAAAGCTGAGCTCACAAATGAGTTTTAACCATCTTTTCAAAATGGCGAAACAAATCAGACGCACAAATATTTTATACATTTTGAGATAAAGTTAACTAATGTGAACAGTTTAAGTGGCAAGTGAATTTCCCCCCTAAAACTAAAGTAGATTAAAAGATACTGAATTGGGTTGGGATTTTTCTTTTCGGTTGAGATTCCCTTATTTTTCTCAGCAACCAAACATGAGAAAGAAAATGAATTAGAAAATGAGAAAGAAAGAGGGGACCTGAGTGGGACGCATGGCGGTCTCGAGAGCGGAGAGGCGGTGATCGAAGGAGCCAAGGACGGAGACGGCGGAGTCAGTGATGGATTGGCTCTTTAGCAACGACTCTCTCATCATGGCCGCCCTATCACTCAGCACATCAATACCCACCGTTGGAACCCCCATTTCTCCTCCACAATTCTCTCTCTCTCTCTCTACTGAGTTTTGTTTGACAGTTCTTACAAGGCAATTCTGATCTAGAGAGAGAGAGAGAGAGGAAGAAGACGACTTGTTAGTTGAAGTTTCTTTGTAGATACAGATAGATACAAGTATTATATTAGAAGATAGATTCGTTCCTTTTTGACAGGGTGTGTAGTGTACTGGTGGTCGGTATAGCATGGCATGGGCATAAATCGGACTCTCAGGTCTATGTTCCAATTCAACATGATGTCTCCAATGAGTCAAGTCAAAGGAAAGCTCATTTTAACTACCACTTCGATCATTTTAACTTCCACTTTTTATTTTCATCACAAATTTATCTTATTTTATTCTTTATTTTTTATTTTATAACAATAATTTATCTTCTACTTCTCCAACTCTAACCCTAATTTCTTTAACAATCATATTGAATTTTTTTTATTTTTTTTTTAACTGGTGTTCGAAGTAACGTCAGTATTACTCGGTCTCGCAACCTTAGATTTCATCGAACAATTATATTGAATTGTTGACCATCAATTTATTTAGAAGTTTAAGTTTTTAGAGAGTCAACTTTAGTTCTCAACACGTCTCCATCACATGTGGTCTCACTTTTTTTCATAGTGTACCAAATGCGTGCAAATATTTTTTTTAATTATCGAATAGGCAGTGAGATTTGAATACATGATCTATTTCTATATCATATTGAATTATTGATAATCAACTCATCTAAATTTTTAAAAAGACGAATAATTTAATTATTTATATTATATAATCAACACCCAATCCCTTCCACTACATGCCACCCATTATGGCCCATCTTCACTATCATGATAGTGTAGATCATGATAAATACTGGTAGTTGATCACTTAACCGCAAATCCAACTTATATCCCTTATTTTCATAAACGGTTGAAACAAAGCTTATAGTGCATCTCACAGGCTCAAAAAATTCTCTCAAATCCAGAGAGAAGCCCAACCCATAACATAGATCCTATTTCTAGGCATATTGTTGTATGTATTACAGTGGAAGGAAGAGAAGAGAATCTCAATTTGCAAAAGAATTAAAGAGGGCAAAAGGAATTTTCATATTTTAATTGAATTCATGAATTATATAGAGTTACTATTTTACACTTTTGGGGATTTTTGTGGATTAGCTCCCGTGAATAATTGATAGATTTTCTCATATATTATGTTTATACGTAGGAGCTTTGTGAGTTGTCCAGAATGAATGAGTAGATGGAGCTAGTTCATCGTCTCAAAGTCTTGCAACTCCATTTGTAGCAAACATAAGCTTGGTACCAAGCTACATTTCATATTTCAAATTAACCCAAAATTTTATGAAATCAAAAATTGTCAAAAATAACAAATTTGAATTAAGCTCAAATCTAGAATATAGAATACAGAGAACTTTTTTTTTTTTTTTTTTAAATACGTGACTCATTTAGAACAAAAAAATTATTTATTCAGAATCTTTTAAAAAATGGTAAATTTCTAAATTTTGAGGCCTAAGTGATAGGATTTACCAAAATCGAGCTTAGGTCACCGCATAGAGCAAGTCAAACTTGTTAGGCCATTTCAGAACAAATATGAGTGTTTTGGACTTGATCCGTCAACCTAAAATTTTTTATCAAAAGCCAAATTGTTGCATGAACTTACTATCGATCACTACTGCATCACTAATCCTATAGAATAATTGGTAATACCACTGAAGGGTACTAGACACAATCCACCCAATGCCACCACTCCTTGTTCAAGTGAACCTTGGCTCTTTCTTACTTTTTTTTAATAACAGAAATTAGTCATTTTCTAGGCAGGCACAAGAAGGTTAAGTATGAGATCCAAAACTTGTAGTCCTGAAGCCAAGTTCCAAAACTAGTGAAAGCAAAAAAGGGTGATACTACCAAAGGAATTAAGTCAATCACATAGTTTTCTCTAAACCAACCAAAAGCATAAATTTTTCAGTATACTCCAACTGAAAAGAAGGAACAAAAGATGCCTAAACCCTGCAGTGTCAAGATTCTTGTCAACTGGGTAGTCCGTTTCAAGTACTAGTCGGGAAGAAACACAACAGACAATATTTTTTTTCAGAGAGAGAAATATCCCATGTAGTTGTTTGTCTCAAACACTAACCTCTATTTGAATAACACTTTGACTATAATGGAACATTGTTTCTCAAATGAAAACTATACAAATTGCTGCACATGTTGATATGACTATTTTTGAATCAAGGATTCTCAATGTCATCAAAGTAGGGGTGCCTCAGTGCTTCAGAAGCTGTAATTCTTCCTTCCGGATTCATGCAAAGCATTTTCTGAAAACACAAACCTTGGTATGAGTACTAAAAACCAGAAATCTTCATGTGAACTCAAAACTTTCATTTTCTTTTCAACATTTAACCAATAGATAGTTTAGAAATACTGAATTATCAATCTCATCTCTACTGACTGCAGAGACGGTTTCTCCAAATATTATAATATGATACTAGTCTTCATATGAAAAAACATTGATATTGTTGATAAATAAACCACATATGCATAAATAATAGCCAAAAAAAAAATAAACTCAAACAAAAAATAATAATAATAAATATATATATATTTTAAAAGACACAAAGATTGCCTACGTCCACTGCTAAGACCAGTTCCACTATATTGAAAGAAAAGAAGAGTTACAATATGGCTGCTGTGAAGACAGCAATATATACGTTAGGGTTTATGTCACCAAATTACCGTAATACGCACCTTTGTACAATTTGACTCAAGGTAAAGTGTCTCTATAATCCCAACAAATCCAAATATTTCAGCCAGTCCCATATGTGGGGCTATGGGGCATTGGTTAAAGCAAGAATAATAAGACTCATCTGATAAACTGAAATATTTGATTGTTAATCAAATATGGTGAAAATGGAAACTTACGGAGAGAAGATCAAGTCCGGCTGGTTCAAGACCCAGGACTACTTCAGCCAGATTCTGCTTGGCAGAATAAGAAACAAGGCAGAAGCATTATATCTCATACAAGATTTTAGTATCCAAAAAAAAAAAAAAAAAAAATCTTCAAATTGTATTACCTGAGGTTCACTACTTGCAAAAGAATCTAGAAAATCACATATTGAAGTCACTCCAGGCCAGGTTTCCTCATTTGGTTTTCCCATAATGCTTCACATTAAAAAGAAAATTGTAAGAATTACACCATTAAATGGCATTAAGAAGTTATAAAAATCAGTGGGCATGTTTGCATTTATATCTAAGTTATATAGAAGCTAATTTGAAGAAAGGTTTTGCATATATATCTAAGTTATATAGAAGCTAATTTGAAGAACGGTGAAGGCAAGAGAGAAAAAAATGAGGCAAATCTAGCTCTCAGACGAGTTAGGACACAAGTCAAAGCTATTGATGCGATTTTGTAACTTGTTCAGTTGGTGCGTCCGAATAATTGAAAGTTCTGTTTATACACCATGTTTTGATTTGATTCTGTCAATTGAATACAATCAAGCGGAATCAGATTTTTAATGCAACGAAAATAAAAATTAAAATTCACCTGAAAACTTTGTTCACTTGAACAAAGTCAGTAGCTCCATCAAAAAGAGGCTGTTGGATCACCAGCTCAGCAAATACACAACCTGCAGACCAAATGTCAACTGGAGTAGAGTATTTTTGGCCGCCAAGTAAGAGTTCAGGTGCCTTGTACCATAGACTTGCAACCTGAAGAACTACCCCAACTGTATGAGAAGATATACCACAATGACTAGTGGAGAATTCAAAACAATTGAATTAATTGATGTTTGGATGTGTTTTTGATGTGGAACATGCGTTTGAATCAAGAAGCCTCATACAAGCATATATATTTTTTTCATAATAACCAATTTTGTTGGTCATCTTGTTACAAAGTAATTGCAGTATGCATATTTTATTTTTTAGAAAATTTGTACTCTATCCTTCATATTTTTTCTATAACCTTATCCCATTCACTAAGTTCCGCCATTTTACTCTTATGTTAAAAAACAAAAAATAAAAAGAGCATCCATAAGCACAATTTTTTTTTTATATTTTTTGGTTAATATATTGTATGAGTTTAAGGCCTTGTTTGGGAACTGGCTATTTTAGTAACTTTTTGGCATTTTAGGAAAAAAAATGTACAAAAAGGTAGAGAGAGTGATGTGACAACTTATAGTGATTTTTTCACTTTTTGGCTAAAACTGAAGGTTGCCAAGCAAAGCCTAAATATTTATTCTTACTGATGTGATTGGTTTAAATTTTTATGCTATTTTTCATACTGATAATAGTTTTTTAACTTTCTCTTTTAGTTTAATGTGCTTATGTGGTTTTATAATTAGTGAAAACTAACTAGAATTAACAGGTCTTGCCTAATTGTTTTGCCTACGGTCTCAAATTGGCTAGAGTTGTCCCTTTATGTGAAGAAACCAACTACAAACTGTAGACACTCCATTTTTGACCATCCTCAAGACTTGGTTGTGCTTGCAGGTACATCCAGCCCCGAGTTCGATTGCTCGTCGGGTATTCGACTTTCGCGGCGGAACGTCACAGGTTTGAGCCTTCCAAACCCTGTATCCTTTCTGCCCCATTCTTGGACCATGACTTGGTCCTTTCAGAATGTTTGTCTTGGTGCACTGCCGGCCACCTTTTGGACCTGCCGGCTTCACTTTGTTGATGCCGGCCATTGATTGAGCCTGCCGGCCATCAATGATGATGGCCGGCAGAACCCCTGTCTCAGCAAGTTTCACTCCAGATCTTTTAAACCAGCTGGAATCCTTTCATCTCCCCTCCATAGTGTATGGAGGGAATGAAGCTCTTGCCAAGCTTCTTGAAGAAGCTTTGCATTGTTTTCCCTCTATATAAGGAGAGAGCCTCTCTCCTTAGCAGATGTTCAGCCATTTTAGAAGAGATATAGCTCTCTCTCTATATATTTCTTACTCTCTCTCTATATTGTTGTGGTTTAGCCCATTTTTCTTGCACTTTTACACTACAACACATAGAGATACACCACCACCATTGGACTGAGGTTCTTCGGAAGGTTCCTTGAGCTCTGAAAGTGAGTTTTTGGCCCCTGAAGTTGCTGGTTTCGAAGCTGATCTTCAAGGGTGAGTATTTTCCCCTTTTTAGCACTTTTTTGTACCTCATTTTGGCCATCCGTGCATATTGTTTTAGGCCTTGCTTTCAACTGAAAAAAGTCTTATATTTAAGTGCTTTTGATGGTTGTTTAAGGTCTTTTGGCTGTTGAGGGTCTTCAACCCTCTTGTTGGCCTTGCTTGGCCTTGTTTTGAGCCATGCCTTAAGGCCTTCGAGCTAGCCTTGGTTTGGCCTTCTAACCACTGAAATTCAATGGATTTTCAGTGGTAGGCATGTGGTTTTGAGGCCTCAAATCAGAGGGGGGTGACCCCCTCTCTTCTTGTTTTTGTTTGCTTGCATTTTTGGCCTTCCAAAGGAGCTTGCATCTCTATGCTTTTAAAGTCTGGTTCAGGCCATTTTTTGTGACTTTTAGGACCTGCCTTGGCTCTGTCCATGGCTGGTTTGGTCACCTTTTGCATGCATCTTGTATGTGTAGTGTAATCCCATTTGTAGCTCATCAAAGTAGCATGTTTTCCTAGCTTGTGTTGAGTCCATTTCAGTAGGTTTTTGGTGATGTTTTACCATGCCTTAGATCTGTTTTGGGTTGGTTTTGTCACTCCATGCATGTATAATACACTTGTAATGTAATTCTCATAAACTAGCTTTATATGCTTCTTGCTTTAACATGTTATCCTAGCTTATGTTGAGTCCATTTCAGCATGTTTTTGGTGATATTTTGCCATGCCATGACGCTGTCCATAGCTAGTTTGGTCATCCTTTGCATGCTCCATATACTTGTAGAACAAATCTTGCTTACGAGCTTGATGTGCATGATGTTTTGACTCATCATCCTAGCATATTTTGGCTTTGCTCCAGCATGATTTTGTTCTTATTTTGAACTGTTCTAGGACTGTTTTGGGCTGCCATGGCCATATCACTCATGTTTTGTATAGCTATAGTGTAAATGCTTAGGCTAGCCTTGGGTTTTGAAACCCCTACCATGCCATACATGTGATGTTTGCATGCTTTGCCATCATTCTAAATGTTATTTCAGTCCATGAAATGTAGTCATACACTTGCATTTGACATGCCTTTAATGCCTTGGAGGCTTGGCTCTTAATGCCTCAAGGATGGACTTTTGTGCATGCCATTAAGCCTAAGCCTTTGGCTCATCAAATCAGTGCATTTTTGGTCTTGTTATACCATGATGTAACTCTGTTTTGTGTTGTCCAAGTCATGCTATGTTTGGTTTCAATAGCTGTAGTGCATTGCATCTTTTGTAGCCTTGCATGCTCCATGTTTTTGGCCTTGTGTTCTAGCTTGTGTTGGCTAGCTTCGAGCTTGTTTTTGGTCTTGTTTGGACCTGCCTTGGGACTATTTTAGGTTCCCTTAGCCCTTTGGGGCTTGCTTTGTATGGTCATGGCTTAGTCCCTTTGCTAGTTCTTAGCTTTTGAGTTTCATGCATGTCATGCTTGTGTTATGTGTGTGATTTGGCATCATTCCTAATGTCATTTCAGAGCATGAAGTATTGCCATAATTGCATGCTTTTCACTCCTCAAGTGTGCTTAAGAGTTGCATCTTTATGCCTTAATTCTTGAGCCCATTGGCATGCATACTTGTCTAGCATTTTGTACCACCAATTCAGCACCTTATGACCACTGACTTGGGCATAGTTGAGGTTTGCCCATATTGGTTTAAGATCATCCTTGCATGTTGTTGCATGTTTGTCTTGCATATTGTTGTTTGCTTGCTCCATCTTTGCATGTTGTTGCATGCTTGTTATATAACATGTTGTTGCATGCCATTAGCCTTGTTAGGTTGTTCATATTGCATTGCATGTTTGCTTGCTTGAGTCGCATGTTTGCCATGCTTGTGTTGCATTGTTGTTTGGATTAAGTGTTAATCCAAGCACGAGAAACGAGGAACATTTCATACTTCAAGTGATGAAACGTGTCTCAATTCTCGATCGCCGATGCTCTTGATTATCCATGATAGAGTTCTATGCATTATGTGTTTATTTGTGCATTCATTTCATATTGATTTGCATAAGTTGGATCTTTGGCCATCATGCATCGGGATGCGTGATTGATGGTCGTGGATTCGATTATGCCTCTCTCTTGATGTTTCGAGGTGATATGGGGTGGCATAGTGCGTACATACCCTTAGGAGACCCTCCCTTTTCTCTATTTTGTGCTCTGCTGCAGCTCGGTATCCCAGCACATCAGTGGCCGGCAGTGCCCTACAGATGGCCGGCACCTCCTCATCCTTGGCCGGCAGGTAGTCGGCAACATCTCTCCTTGCCCGGCAGGCCACTGATGCACTCCCCAGCATGTTTTTGGTGGGTCCTAGCAGCAAGTTCTCAAGGACACCCTGCAAACAGAACCTCTTGAGAGCAACCGGAGAGCTTACCGGGACAGGAACCGAGCATGCACCTTCTGCTTCTCTGAACAGAGCTGGAGCAGCATTGTTTGTTGCTTTTCATTTGTAGTTAGTTAATTAATTTGTTAATTAATTAAGTTTTGTAATAATTAATTGTAGCTAGTTATTCATTCGGTTATGTAATAATTAATTAGCTTGTTAGTTAGTTAATTAGTTGGCATTTATTATTTATTCAGACCTCCGTCAAGAGGGCGAACTTTGTAATAAGTGTGCGTGCGTGTGTGCATGTCTTCCAACTCCATTTCTTTCCCCCTTTTACTTACCGCTTTCGATGGTTAGTTATAGGTCATTTTCAATTAGCATCCTTATGCTATGCATGTTTGCATCATTCATTCGTATTGCATGCACCGGGCTCGGCGCATCATACTAACTGCATCGTATTTCAATTCCAAGTTGAATACATGTATCAATTATCGCATCTCATATGCCATCTTAGAATAGCCGAGCCTATTTCTAGTTGCATTTTGCATGTATTGCATTAGTCATCTTAACATGAACTAGGATCATGCTTGATTACTAACTAGTTATTGTTTTGGCTCGGAGTACTAAGTAAACTTTTATGTTTTAGCATACTGCATGTGTGTTATTGATTACCATGAAAGCATGCTTGCCATGAGGCTAATTGCTTAGTTGATATAAACTGCCTGAATGCCTGTGGGTGAAGGTTAGATTATTTGAATTGGAACAATTCATTGAAATCTGTGTTTTAGCCTACTTGCGACTAACAAACTTCAAACCATTTTCAAACAAATGGATATGCGATGCTTTGTTCCAAATTAGGCGATCTAGTCTATACTTGTGTGTTGTGTGCATCACATAGTAATTCTTGCTAATTAACCGGAATAAGAACACATGTGTTTTCAAAAACGAGATATCATGCTTAGTACAAGCCGATCTTTAATCGGGCGAGCGGGGGTGCTCATAGATGACCTTCCCCAATCGTACCCAAGTTCCCGAGCCGAGACAACTTTGGTGATGACGGACACGTGGCCTTAGGCACGAGTCAGGGTTTCCTAAATTCCTCCAAAATAAAAATATTTAGGTGGCAATTCTGTATATAGCAAAGCAGTCTATGTTTGGAACTTCTTTCTAAAAAAATCAGTTTTTCAAAACGATTTGCCGGATTTAGACTCTTTGGTGATTTATCAATCTCACATCGCACATTGTGAGATCAGATTAAGAACCGTGACATTATTTGAGTCCGAACTGTAGCATTAGGCCCCCGAGGGCGCATCTACACAAACCCATTATTCTTACCCCAGTGTTAGATATAGGAAGTAACTTGAATTCATTTGCAAGTACGCGTTTACAAGCAACATGTGAAGCGAAAGAAAAGGAGTTTGTACTAAATATTTATCAAAGCATATATTTCTAACTAAAAAACGTGTTACAAAAGAATAAAGAAGTAATGTAAATCACCTTCTAATATGCAGTGTCAAAATACCATTCAGTTACTAAGAATGAAAGTCGAAAGAGGCAAGCTTTTACTTGTCATAAATATAAACTGTTTGGGAGGACTTGAAACTAAAAAGAAGGCAAGGGTAGAATAATGTACAACTGAATACCTTTTCCCCTTCAGTATATGTCTGAAGAGGAACACCAATTTCCCTGGCTGATCCAAAGTCTGCTAGCTTAAGTATGTGCTTGCTACAATCTATCAGCAAATTCTGAGGCTTCAAATCACGGTGGAGAAGTTTTTGAGAATGACAATAGGCAAGACCGTCAAGAAGCTGATGCATAAGACTCTGACAAGAAGAAGAAAATGAAAAACAAATCCTGAAATTAATTGGGAAATTCCTTCAGCATCATCCGTAACACATTTAACATAGAACAACTAGGGTGGCATTACTAGGAAATTGCATGCTACTGAATGACAACAATTGTTGACATTCAAGTCATATTAAAATTTCATGGAGTGTGTCGTTTCCACTTCACTATTATCATACCCAAGTCATGCATCGGATCTTTCTCAAAAATGGTACAAAAAAATAGCAAAACTCACTCACTTTTATCACTTGGTTCTTCTTGGCAATATCTGCGGAAGTGGTCATAAATTTCTTCAGGTCAAGGTCCATATATTCCAAAACAAGACACAAAATTTGATCATCATCCAATACATCTAGCAACCTGTAACCAAGAAATCCATCAAATAGCATGTTCAAAAAATCCATGATATTTAGAAAAATATTAGCTAAATACAACCAGTTATTCAAAATCTAGAGTTAGATTACTGTTCTATCCAAGCAGTGCACTCCAAAAAGTATATTTGCAACAAATAACGACTGTATTCTATTAGAAAGATGAATCCTGTACCTAGCTATCAAATTATATTAGAAATACAATTTATCAAACTAGCCATGAGAAGAAAATACAAAGAACTTGTCCCTCATATGATCATTTTTTGTGCAACTTTCAGAATTTGCAAAGGTCCAGAAAACGAAATAGAACAGAATCAGACATCATGTTTCACTGGAAGCAGGCATATGATGTCACTTTTATTTATAGAAGACAGCTAGTTTTATCTCGGAAAATATCAGAAAAGTGATTCTACAATAAATGATAAATGTGGAAATTAAAAAAATAAAATAAAATTGAAGTGTTAAAATTATTTACACTGGGACATTGATGAAACAAGAAAACATATTATTAAAAGCAAAAAACCAAAAAAACTGGATAGTTTTTTAATGGGAATATGAAGCACATATGTCTTTCTGTTTATAGTTGCTTGGTAACTAAGTGATACTAGGTATGTCATTTGGACCCCAAAATAACTTCAGATTCACTCTTTTAAGGACTTCCAAATCTTTAAGCACACTTATAGCTACCCCAATGTTGTTCGGACCAAGAAAACTTTTAATTTTATTTTTGTTTTTTTTGTTGTTCTAGTACTTGTATGGCATATTGACCTTCAAACAAAATAATGCAGATTATTTTCCATGATATTACCTAATCTCAAAGGACCAACATGTCCATTAGAGCCAAAATCGAAAGCCTTGCAACTGTAACCTCTTTGGCTATTTAATCTTATTCTTTTTAAGTAGAAACTTTACAAACAGAAATATGACCAAGTTTGATGTTCAGTTTGTTCTATTTGCAAAACATTCAATAATTGTTAATTGTTGATGAGAATACATTGGGGACTACACACCTGACGATATTGCTATGATCCATCTCTTTCAGATATGAGACTTCTCTGATTACTGAACTAGGAACACCTTCGTCTCCATCAATAGAATAAATCATCTTCAAAGCAACAATTTCATTGGTGTCACGTTTATGGGCCTTGTAAACACAACCAAAGCTTCCATGTCCAATTGTCTCAAGAATCTCATACTAACAATTTGTCAGCATGACAAGACGTCAGATGGGAATAGTAAAATGAAACAATCTCAAATAACATAAAAGAAAATCAAATCTTTACCTTCTCCATTTGATCAAATCACATGCCCTAGAATAAAAAGAAGATAGAAAAAAAAAAAAAAAATAAATAAATAAATTATTCCAAAATATTAGAAAAAAATAAAGTTCCAGGGATCCAGTCAATTATAAATCAATCAAGCTATACAAGACAAAACAAGAAAGTTTTCATTTTTTATCTTCTAAAATCACGAGCAGTTAAGAACTTAAAAATATATCTCTAACAATTTACATTAACAATAAAAGGAATACAAGTATCATTACAGTAGACAATATGAAAAGATACTTGTTTCTCTTATCCTGCAAATATCCTTTAAATCATAAGAATAAGCCATATAGCCACTCCACATCTTTCTATAACTTTCAAGTTGTGTTTGGATTTTGGATTTGATAGACATTTATGGGGGAAAAGAAAATTGGAAAAGTGACAAAAATCAAAGCTAAAATTTTCAATTTTCCCTTTCCTTCCTCAAAGACCTACTCAAATCCATGATCTAAATACAACCTCAATTGTGAGAAACACAGCCAACAATGAATTGTAAAATATCTTTTAAAAGGTACTGTTTTAGAGATTAGAGAAACAGCAAAAAAATTATGAATAATTTATAAGCAAGCGCTACTCATAAAAAAAAATAAAAATAAAAATAAAAAATATTTTACAGTCCTCTTAAATTACAAAAAATTGGGGAATTTGCCCGGTCAACTAATAAAGAAGTCCTAGTATCAGCAGAAAAGACAACATGAAAAGTATATTTGATTATGGAACTGAAAGTGATACATATAAGTCATGAGCCTAGTATGTCCTTCTATGCCCATTAGAATCAATTATTTTCTTCTGTTAGCATCCACCAAAGGTCTTTAGATGCACAGGTATGGTTACAAATTTGTTTAAAGAGTTTGAAGCTGGAATCTTGACAAACTAAAAGTGTTTCATGTCATGATTTCTCTTCCAACTAGCTCTTGGTGATTTATCTTGTTGAACCATCTAACCCTCTCACATCATTCTCCACAAAGCAAATCCTAATGAATTGTCCCAAATCTATCAGACTAGTTATTGCTTTGTCCAAAACCCTGGAAACCTAAAGGATCTGAATACATCCCCAACTCACTGCACAGAAAAACTACGGCTTAACATTTTTAGGTTAATTCTTTTATAGAATGGTAATTACTCTTTCCACCATAATTTTCTCCATCAAGTTATAGCATAAAGACAACCAAATCATTCTTGTAAAATCCTACCCTAAAAAATAATATCAGAAATTCTGGGCCTATAATTGTTACCATCAAAACCTTCTTCAATACATCTTCCTTTCCCTCTATCCGGATATGTATACCTACGGAGGTAGCCTAATTTCTTTGAACGGTGGTTTGAATATAGATATATCTAGGGCAATACATACCAAATCGTCCATACGTCCCAACAATAACACCGCCAATGGAGAACATGTGGCAGAAAACTATACAATTTTACTGCATTTTCCAAGTAACAAAAAAATCTGCTTCTCTAAGGAAACTAGTACAATATCAAAAAGCATATTCTATTCAAGAAATCAACACAAATATCCAGAGACTTTCAAAATTACTCATTTGATTCAACGCATATATAAAATCTCATAAATGGTTGATGATCATCAATCATATCACTGTCGAACAAGGAGAGAACAAAAAAGACTGAAAATCTGGAATCCATAATCAGAACATAACAATTTATATTTTTGAATTTTGAAAACCCTATAATCTCGAGAACGAATTACAAACAGAACAAAACGAAATCAAATAAGATCATTTACTCTCAAAGCAAACACAACTTACAGAGAGAGAGGTCTCTGATTCACAGATGCTATGCTCGAAATCACCACCACAGCAAATTCAAACCAGAGAGAGAGAGAGAGAGAGAGAGGAACTTTATGTGTTGTTGGGCGCCAAAACGAATTAAAATGTGACTTCCCGCCAAAAGTTCTTTATGTGTAACCGTCTTAACGACTTCCCCTGTGGGGTTAGACGGGTTTCGGGTTTCGGGTCGGTTTATATATCAAAATATTTGAGACCCTAATAAAATGTAGAATGATAGATTTCAGGGAGCGGTTAAGATGTGCACCTTATAAAATAGTGCACATCATATACACATTTATTTTAAACCATTAGATATTTATAAATTAATCTCAACCATCAAATAATTTGATTGAAAATATTGAATACCCTCTCAACCGGTTACAATTTTGTTCACCGATTATTGTACAGCAATGCTAGGTATCATGAAAAGTCTTTCATGAAAATAGTCATGAAAGATTTGTGACCTTTGGATTACACTAGAGACACTTGCAATAATTTGGAAAGGTAAACTTAAATTATTGAGTCTGAATTGTTTGAAAAAGAGGAGTGTTGGAAGAAGGTTTATATAAAACTGATTGAAGCCACAATCAGTAATATGATTTCACATCTTATAGTGGATGACTGGATGATATGGCCATGGAAAAGGAAGTAACTGTATGACAGGATTCACTGAGAGAACCAAATAGTTGGAAGAACTCAATACTCATGTTGGATTCTGGCAACAATGAATAGTATTTCGAAAGGTTTGTAAAGCATCTTGTCTCCATAGTTCTATTTTCCATATATAACCCTCCATTTTGAAATTGCATTCACATTTTCCTTCTGATATAATCTTCTGTTCTTCCAGGCAGCAGAGGCAGAGGATGACCCGAACACGAAGCGATTCAAACCCAATGAAGGCAGTGGGAGCGAAAATGATAGTGTTAAAATAGGGGATGAGGATGAGAAACAAACAAAGGCTAACCAGAAGCCTCCTGAGCCCCCAAAGGACTACATTCATGTAAGAGCAAGAAGGGGTCAAGCTACTGATAGCCATAGCCTTGCTGAAAGAGTAAGAATCACAGCCCAATTCTCTCATCATTCGCTCCAATTCTTCCATGGCAAGCTTAGCATTAACGTTGCGATTTTCGGGTATTTGGGCAGGTTCAAAGGGAGAAGATCAGTGAAAGAATGAAGCTTCTCCAAGACCTCGTGCCAGGTTGCAATAAGATGTGTGTAACAAAATGCTTTGCAACAAATTTAAGCCATAGTAGAGCTTGAATTCATTGTTGGGCAATGACTAAATTGGCCTTGGAAATTTTCTTTCCATTGTACTTGTAGGTGAATGGAAAAGCACTTATACTTGATGAAATTATAAACTATGTGCAGCCACTGCAACGACAAGTCGAGGTAAATTAGGACTTGTTCTGTACCATGGGGTTTCATTTTGATTGCATAATTGAGTTCTATGACTTAATGGGTATTGTGTATTCATTTTGTATTTTGTAGTTTCTGTCAATGAAGTTAGCTTCTGTGAATCCAAGGTTGGAATTTAACATGGATAGTCTCTTGTCAAAAGATGTGAGTATAGAAACTTGTAAAATCAATTTCTTTTATCTATTGTGATGTTTTTTTTCTAAAATTGGTTGTAAATTCCAGGTATTTCAGCCTAATGGCTCTTTCCCTCATCAAACATACCCATTAGATTCCTCTGCTTCTGCTTTCTTTGGACAACAGACCCAGGAATTTCCACCAGTACATACTAATCTTTCCAATGGGGACCATACAAGCACCACATTATGTCAAAACAACGGCATGCAATTACCTCCGGTTAATGAATTTGGCCAAGGTCTTCCACAGGTATTCAAATGCTGGCCCATTCCTGAAGAATTTGGTGTTGTCTTTGTTTTCTCCGTTTTCATTTTTCGTGTTTCAGTAAGGAAAACAAAGAAAAGTTGGAAATACCCAAAAATAAAATAAAATAAAATAAAAATCTGAAAAGAGTTTTCTGAAACAATTCTGTGTTTTTAAGCATTGAAATAGAAATTAAAATACAACTACACAACCCTTTTAAGTTTTTCATCATCTAATTCTGCTTTTCTCAACTTGAAATCCTCAGTTTCCAACATTGTGTGAAGATGATCTGCAAAGCATTGTTCAGATGGGGTTTGGTCAAGAACCCAAACCACAATACAGGATTTCAATCATCCCACATGAAAATTGAACTGTGGTCACCATTGATTTGTCCTCAACTCAAGGCCCAGAGGCTGCTGTATATTAGTAGTTTTTTTTTTACGAGAAATATTAAAAAAAAATCTTGATGCATACCTAAAATATAGTAGAATCACAAGTTGCTTCATTCACCAACTAATTTGATTTGTTAGGATGAAGAACTGTGTTGAATCAAGAAGGGTTGACTTTTGTTAAATCTATTTTCTATAACAGCTTTAGATATGTTACATATGATCTCTATAATTGAAATTGGTTTGATCTATTTTTGCAGGAATAGTATGTATCCTGAGCAGTCGACTCATCTCAGTTGTGAACTACAACTCTTTATGAGCTCAAGAAGAGCATACAGTCTGTAATGTTTTTGTAGTGGAAGTGGATAGAACCATAGACAGACCTGTAGACACTAATGCTTGCTTAAAGACGGGTTTTGAGCCATTGGTTTGATATTGTCAACCAGTGGCAAACAGACACTTTGGTTGTTTCCATCTCCAATTTGGTTCTTATGGGCCTGTGCTTATATTGAACATGGCTAACTATGAAAAATTTATCGATATTTTTCAGTTTTTTTATAGGTATTTTTTTAGTTCAATAACATAAAATTAGCACAATATAAAAAATAAAATAAAAAAAGAAGAAAGGGCTATCACGGCATTTCTAAAAATGTCGCTAAATAAAATGGTGACGTCATGTTACCGTTAGAAGAACTTTTAGCGGCGTTTTAAAACGTCGCCTATAGTAATATAGCGATGTTTCTAAAGCGCCATAGAGTTATAGCGATGGCCGCATCTTCGACGTTTGGTGATAAACGCCACAAAAGGATTTAACGGCGTTTTTTAAACACATCTAAAACTCCAATTTGCACCAGTGTTTAAAAAATATATATTAATTTAAAAATTAAGAAAAAAATTGATCTAGGTGCAGTCGGACCAAAAGAATGGCTTTAAGGTGGACTGAATACTAGACTAGCCAAACCAAAACTCAAGTTTTAATTTTTATTTTCAATGGTTAACTTGATTGTAATTAATCTATTGGAGGAGGGATTTTACTACTATGCTTAGCAAGGTAAAAATTACTTTGAAGGGTGACCCGAGAAAATGACTACTTTCTTTGTTATTTTTTATATTTCATTCTACAATTTATTTTTTATGTTAACAATTTTTTGCAAGTTCTACAAAAAGGAGAAATGAGTAAAAGCTAATGGACACACATGGTTTGATATATCATTGGTTGAACTCTAACATAATACAAGCTATAATTGCAAAACACTAATAACATAATATATTTATGTTTTATTATAAGTGCAGTTTTTGTAATTTACTCTATTTTCTATTTTTATTTTTTTACTAATTATGTTATAACACATGTTTTTGTTATTTAATTCTTAGAACATACCATTAATGAGAAGACTAGGGGAAAAAAAAACCTTAATTGTAATTATAGTGGAAATAATTAAAATTTACTTAATTGTAATTATAGTGAAAATAATTAAAATTTACTTGATTCTAAATTATTTTCTTCTACATTTTAAAAATATTTTTTTAATTACTATTTAAAATTAATATTAAGTTTTAATTATTTGTGTTAGACTGTGCATAGTACGGGTGTAATGCTAGCTCTATTATAATTGTAAAACATTGTTATAGCGGCTCAGGTCAAGACCCGACCATTTTATATTTTTTGATCCGGGATCCGATACTCATGGTTGTTATTTATACCCCTTGTTGTCTTCTTGTAATGTGGGATTGGCTGTTTGGAGTTGTTGGTCATGTTTTGAACAAGTTGGGAATTAGAATTTCAAAGGAATTTCTGTTTCTTTGTTGTTGAGTTCGCTCGAGTAGTCTTTCCTTCGCTTGAGCAGTCTTTGGTTCCTCTCAATATCTGTGTTTACAGTCTGAACTTCTGGGAGTGGGGTGTTCTTCGCTTGAGCCATGGGTTGATTGCTCAAGCGGTATTCTGTGTTTGAGGTTTGAGCAGTCTTTTCTTCGCTCGAGCTGTCTCTTTGCAGGTTCAAACTATTAGGAGGGGGTCATTGTGCATTCAAGCTATGATTTGGTCGCTTCAGCGATTCTTTGTATTTGACGCTCGAGCGGTGTTTTGGTCGCTCGAGCAGTCTGTGCGTATATTGTTGAAAAAAAATTATTTTATGATGATTTTAATGTGAAATTAAAGTAGGTCCCAATCACCGGTTGAGATGTGATAAAATCAATTTAGATTCTTTATAACAAGATCTTTACACCACAAAAAGAATGTCCAAAAACCATTAAGAATTGAATGATAAATTGTCTCATAAAGTTGGCCTCATGAATGAGATATTAGGAATGGTATATCTATCCCACATTCATTATAAAGGAAAGCATTGATTGATATTTAAATCTCAAGTTTTTGATAAGGGCATGAGCAATTTGGGACATCCAAATTTTTTGAAGGAAGGGAGTTATGGATGCTTTAAGGATGAGCTTGGGCTAAAACTATATTCCAAGTTGGTTGTGAAAAAAATGCCACACACGCATACGCCGCCCACCCGCCCGAACCGGGCTAGGTCCGGGTCCGTGGTACGTAGGACTTAGGTTTGAGGCTTTCTGGAATAGATTAGGTTTGGGATGAATCTGATTGGTGGCCCATCAACCTAATCTCTTTTGGGCTAGGTTAGATTATTGTGATTACTGATATACACACATGTATATATAGAGTGTGTAACTTATACACTTATTTCCCATCAGTTTTGGTGCATTTGATTCTTTAGTTTTGTAGAATTGAATGCATTTGTTGCTGGAAGACTCTCTCTCTCTCTCTCTCTCTCTCTCTCTCTCTCTTACATTGTGTATAAAAAGAGACCATCTTCTTGGGTTTTAAACATAGAAATTTTTTGCTCTCAAATTACATAGTCAG